AGTCGGGTAAAGTGGATTTTGGGTGGACGCTGCCTTTAATGGTATGAGATTGATATTTTCCCTTCAGCTTTCGCCATATTTTGATGGAAACTTTTGAGTGACATCGAAGGCTCACTTGAACACTTCACGGTATCAGGGCTTGCCTGCAAGAAATAGAAAACTACTGGTAGCATGTTAGTATGCGAGTAAAGCGACCGAGGTTGGTAGATGTTTATTGTTAATGACGGTTTAACGTTTCGAAGTGTTCGTCTTTTTCAGAGGCCTAAATGGGAGATTTAGATATCATGCTCTACCCCACCAAAAACCTCCTCCACCCCCTAGCCAGCCCCGGCTTTACCTCCGAATGTCACAAATGAAAATAGGCAAGTATGTGGAAGACGAACTAACCTCCTCCGCCGCTGCCGCTAAGACGGATGTTAAATGCGGCCGTCCTCGAGTGTACCTAGCATGGAATACAAGGTATACCATGCTAATATTAATCAGTGGAATTCTTCAACTCCACAACGCCATAAAAGGCCTAAAGTCGTTCGTGTTCGTGATCACCCATTTCATGCATGGATTCCTTGCAAAAATCCATACCTTGAGAGCTTTCCCACTAGCAGTATCGTATTCGTATGTCATTATAGCATCTAACTTCGAAGTCTTTTCCACAATGGAATTCAACCCTGTGTTTATCAAGCGGTATGGTAAGAATTCCCGCCTTTTGCTGGCAGGAAGTTCTTTCATTTTTACCCTGTTCTCCCAGTCTCTCCGATATAAGTAGTGCTACAATTGATACATTCAGTCTCATAGATAACACCAGTCTTACCGCATTCACCAACTTTACCGGATGGACAAACTACACAGTCTTGGATTCTGCGGTAGATGTCGTATAGCCTGTTACGAACCAGCCGCTTCCTCATGTTGTCACTAGGAATACCGACTAAAATGACATCGTCTTTCAAGTTCGCACGGTCATCGCCATCGTGATCGTGCTGAAGTGCATCGTCGCACTGCAGCACTTGTCTCGTAAAAAACGAAAGGTTTCGTAAAGAGGTATTTCGTTGATGCTGATTGCTATGAGTATGGATGGCCCACCGCGTCCTTTGTGGTGTGCGTAACCATTCATTCATTCAAGCAATTTCTAGCGCCTTTCTTTGAGATTCCTTGCGTTTTTCTTCTCCTGTGCATACGTTCGTTGCTGTTGTGAGCATGTTACGAATAACAGCTCTTTTAACAGCGATCGTATATGCAGAACGAGCATTCATCAAGATGTTCTTAGAAGTTTCTTTACGATACCATTTTACACTCGCAACGCCGTTGAACAGTTTGATCTGTACCTTTAGGTAGGAGAGCCAACCATTTCTCGAGCTGCCGTGTAAACTTTATGTGCTGTGACTGTTAAATGAGTAGTCGAAAACATTCATCCATTTCGGATTGTGTTGGTGTTATGACGCAACTGTCATCGACGTAACGACAGTACATAAGAGGCATACGTGACAGCAATGGTTCTTCCTGCTCATGAAGCAGAACGCCAGTACCGGAGCTAGTCTCTGTCTCATTGCAAGACCTGTTAGCTGAGTATATTATGCTCCTGAACATCTAAAGATGTTACAAGAACACATTCCTTGATCAGAAGCAAGCAGATATTTTACTCAGCCCGAAGGTTCGGATCTTTCCACCAAAGCTTCCAACACTTCCGAAACTGCATGCAAAGCATCATTTAGAACACAGATAAATTAATAAATAAAACATTCGTGTACAAGGATACAACATCAGAAGACTCTGCTACACATTACGTTTGCAAAGTAGTGTTACGAAGGCGTTCCAATAAATGATTCGTTTGCTGATTAAATGAGACGGAACTTTGTCCAGGAGCTGACTAACAATCTTGTTCAAGAACCAGGAAATTCGGTCGCTTGGTCCTCCTACAGAACTTATAATCGGTTTTATTTTCAGATGTTCCGCCGTCAAAATGCGTGCGTCATCAATAACGGCTAGGCTATATGTTATGAGTCTTAACAAGGCTATAAAAGACCGGGCATTCCGGGCTTTGTAATTTCGGTCTGCTAAGAAAGCTCTCGGAAAGACCAGCTGCTCTTCCTACGTTTGTGGCATTCGGGTGTAGAAGGCTGGCTAGTGGGTGTAGGAGGTTTGTGGTGGGGTAGAGCACGATATGTAAACCTCTTACTACTTTAGGCCTCTGAAGAAGACGAACACGTCGAAGCGTTAGCCCGCCACTAACAATAAACATCTACTAACCTCGGTCGGCTTACTCATATACTAACATTTCTACTAACAATGCTGTGGATTACGAAAGAGGAAACATGGAAGTTACTTACTGCTGATAACTTTCGTCTGCATATGCCAATCGTCTGCACATGTCTATACTTTTTACAATTTGCAACATGTGTTGAAATAAGGAATGCCCTCCTAGTGTTTAAAATGTAAAGCAATCACTTCAGAATTGTTTAATTACAAAATTCGTACTTTATGATAGACCTAATGCTTTTAAGTGTTCGAGGGTATGTATTCTTGAAACGCTGTCACCTTCCTAGTCTCACTTTTAGACCCTTAAAGGCACCGTCCACCCAAAGCGAAGTTGATGAGATTTCGGTGGCATACTAGTGTGGGCCCCCACACTAGGCAAACCCCCAAGTAGCGCCGCAAAATACTCCTTCCGAAGCGAGAAATCCGCTCCGGAAGGGATGTAACCGGAGGTGGTCACTCCGCCCACTTTGCAGGCGCGCTGATATACGCAGGGCGTCATTAGCAAACTAGTTATGGGCAATTGTGCAATCGATTAGGAGTATTGGGAAATGTTTGCCCCAGTCTTGATCCAGGTTCCGCGTATTTACCACATTCACACAGAAAGCAGTGAAAGCAAGTGTTTTAGCACACAGAAATGCGTGATAGTTTAGTGCGATGATCCATTAGTCATGTAGACGGCGTCAACGATTATTTTGACTACAAATAGTTTTTCAATTTAATGTACATTGCAATGAAAAAACTCACGTCGCATGTTCATCTCGTTTTATTGAGCACAAGCGTCACCTATAACGAAAGATCGTGTTCATATCAAGAAAAACAGCTATGCTGGATGCTGATGATGGCTATAATCGAAAAAACAACTTTGTCGTAGATTTGGTCATGATTGAATAAAAAACGAACGGTTGAGGATACAAGTACACGAAATAACACTAGAAAAACTCCGATTAGTCGCCTACGACGAGGCAGCGTACTGCGCTGTGCGCGTAGTCTCTCCAACGGTGCGCTTGCAAAGTGGGCGGAGTGACCACCTCCGGTTACGTCCCTTCCGGAGCGGATTTCTCGCTTCGGAAGGAGTATTTTGCCTCGCTACTTGGGGGTTTGCCTAGTGTGGGGGCCCACACTAGTATGCCACCGGAATCTCATCAACCTCGCTTTGGGTGGACGGTGCCTTTAAGGAACTATTTGCAGGCGGCATCTGACTTAGACTCACTCTGTGAAGAAATCACTGACCGTTCTTCAGTGTAGGTTAACCTTCAGATGGCCCGTGTCCGTTAAGTTGTTATTTCCGTGCGAATTATTCCTCTCAAAAAATGCAAAGAATCTAACATTAGGGTTGCTCCGAAAGTTCTGTCGATCATTTTCAAAAGTTTGTAACTTTTTGTTTGAGCGGATTTTCCTCATTTCATTAGAATGAAGAAGTCTTCTTCTTTGTAGACTTGTCTCGATGAGCTTCTACTATGCATTTATTGCAGAGATAATAATGGAAAAAGAAGACCATTTGAGCTTTGAAAATTTTGAGATAGGTCGCCAAGAATCTGGAACGCTGCAGAAAAATCTGAAATTGCCAGTACATAAGTTTTGTGACCTACTTTTTGCATCTGAGAAAAATTGTGCAGTTGGACGTTTCAACAAAAAGTTAAAAATTGCAAGAAAAGTGACAAATCAATCAATTTTGGCGTTTTTTATGGTAAATTCGAAAATTATAACTGTTCACAGAGCCTCCAAACAGCGAAATTTTTTCTCATATGCAGAAAATAGGTCACAAACCTTACGTACTAGCAACTTCAGATTTTTGTGCAGCGTTCCACTTTCTTGGCGACCTATCTCAAAATGATCAAAGTTTGAGTGGTCTTCTTTTTCCAATTCTATCTTTGCAGTGAATATATAGTAGAACCTCATTTACGAACTAGTGCAAAGACGAAAACCTCTTCTTTTCAGTATAATGAAAAAAGCAAGTCCGTCGAGTGGCAAAAAGTTACAAATTTTTAAAAATGAAACTACAGAACTTTTAGGACAATCCAATATCTCTGTCATTATAGGCTGTTGCATGACAATAGCAATACCTTTGGGTGCAAAGGCGGTTTCATTAGCTGCAGGATCACGGTGAAGATACGCGCGCGCAGTGCGCGCGGGTATCCACCGTTGCGTATCATATCGCGTCTCATATTGCTTCCGCGCCTTCGCCATGCAGCAGCCTTTATCATGCTACCATTTGATTCAGCGGTGTTGGCGGGTGGAAGGCGGGCGTCGAAACCTAATCAAGGTGGAAAATGACCAGAGCGCACGCTCGCGAGATACTGCGGCGCAAGCGGTTGCCTTCCAGCCACCTATCCATTGATTTGAAGGGTACATGCGAAATATTCTTAGATGTAGTGCCCAAAACTCCGTTACATCAAACTCTGAATTTTCAAATTGATTTATATGACTAATTATTATTTGATTTATTAATTAAGTTATAATGAGAAGATAATTTGATGGGGCTTCTACAGTAATCCTGCGATGGTGAGGAGAGACTAGTACCGAAAAGAGTACCTTGATGTTGTACCTTGATGCATGGAAGATATCAAAGCAAAGATGTCGTTGATCGAGTGGTTCATGCATACATACTTTTAGGACTCCCCATATATTAACATGAAGATAATCTAATGTTCGTGCTTATGAAATCAGCAGACAGAGAACAGTAACTAGTTGGACACAGAACAGTAACTAGTTTTTATATGAATTTGATCTGTTCGTTATCATTATTTCAGGTTTAGTCGGCGCAGCTTGGGTAGAAGCTCCTCGGGTAGGTGAAAATGGCCGAGTAAAAGCCTGGGATGTGGTGTTTGCGCGTCGTCGAGAGTTTGCAGTGGATATGGCTGGTTTTGCCCTGCATGTCAAGGAGATTTTCAGGGTTCGGAAGTGAGTCACCATAATGTGCGTTTCCTCGTTATCAGAAAACGTTCTCGTTTGAGTGCAACATTCGGAAGCAAGTGTGCGAGGATATATGGAGTGGGTCCCGAGTCATGTTTTCTCAAGCAATTTGGTTTCAAAAAAGAAGACGCGGAACCTTTTGGACATGACGAAAGCCCTAAAGATATTCTCGTTTGGCATACGCAAACCAGGAGATTCAAAGGATCAGGACCCTCTCGGGGTTTCGTCATTGAAATTTAGTTTACGCTTTCACTACTTGTTTTCATTTCCATCCGACAATGTCTCGCAGCCAATCTGTATACGATTTTACAAGGACTGATTTCATTTGCGCAGAATCCAGATTTTGACAATCTGCTCGTTTTGTTGTCATGTCACTGGGTCGTCAAGTGTGTCTCATAGATATGATAAACTTTATCCTTATTTTTTTCATGTTTTTGTACCCGCTCGCGCCTTTGCCATAATCAACAGCAACCAGAAATCCGAATGTTACAATTCGGAACTAACAGTTTACAATTCGGAACTAACTACTCCCTTTTCGCTTTGGGATTCACAAGTTCAGTTATGTTTTTTTTCTAAATTATAGTTATTCTGTAGAATTATGATTAATGATTTGTATACAAGCATTTCATTAGTTTGATGCGGTTAGAGAGAAAAATGCACTGTTGCAAAAAAGATGGAAACGATGTGAGACACATGTAATTTTCATAATTGATAGACAGCTGTAGTCAGGGTCTAACGTAGAGGCTATGGAAGACTTCACCTTGGATTTCGCTTCTAGGAGAAAATGCAAAAAGGGTATTGTGAAACGCTATGCAGGCATATAATCTTTGAATTGATTTAACTGGCTTGGAGGCTGGAAGGCTGGGCTTTGTGACCTAATTAATACCGCTCGCGCCCGCGACGCAGTCTGCATCTTTGTTGCGCGCATGCTCTCTAATCATTTTCTAACCTTAGTCACGAAGCCCGCCTTCCAACCCCAAACCAGTTAAATCAAACTTCAGGAACAAGTCATTTTACGATTGGTATCTCCACTCTGTTCCTTCAAAGGTGCCCACTGTTTGGAGGCAAGCCTAACATAAGCAAATGTCTTGTCCTCATCGCAGAAGCACATGACATCAGTTTCGAATTTATATAAACGTTACTATTGATCTACCAAGTCTAAAGCTTTGAAAACCTAGTAACACTTTCCTGAAGGCACTCGTCCTCCGAGACGCTACTAAGACAACCGGGTGGTCAGAGCTCAAGTTTTGTGGGTTCATATAAGCTGTAGATTATTTAATCATGAGCTTCTTCCCTGGCCGAATATTTATTTTCGAGCAAGTCGTCTTATTGTACAAAATCGCTATGATAGATTTTGCCCTCCACACCATCATAATCGCCGCTTACCTCAAAAACATTCATTTGCTGCATCAACTCATGCTCTTTCTCCTTCATTTTCTCATCTATATTTGGTCATTTCACTCATATTCACAGGCAACAAGCAACATTCAATGAAGTTGGAAAGCCATTTTTATATACCACATTTTTGTCAAAAGGGCTTTTCTGCATATGCGTCGCTATGCATTAAAGGCAGTGTCCCTGCAGATCTTGCACTTCCACTTTTCTGCATGTTTTAGGCCTTTTCGCCACGTAGAACCTAAACTTGAGCTTTGAACGGGCTGAAAAGGCCGGTTTTGGGGCGTTTACCCAGTTCCAAAAAACCAGCTTTTACGAAGGCACAGGCAAGAAAACCCGTTCGGGTGCACGCCGATTGGGGTTGCGCGCGCCGGTTTAAGGCCATTTTCTCGGCCCAGGGGGAAGATCAACGAGCCGGACTGCGTCTGGAGGTCATTGGGGTGACCAGGAATCCCACCACACCTATATCCCCCAGGGCGCGAATCTGCCGCACTGCCTTTAAAGGGGACTCATTAAAGGCAGTGCCCAGGCTAAATCTAATCCCCTCCGATTGATGCCGATCCTGAAAGTAGACCCAAGAAGAGGGGCATTTGCGTTGGTTCGGTCTTCTGATGTTATCTCTAAATGGAGATGATGGGCCCGGAGCAGCCAAAGCGCCACCAAGCCCCGCCCAGACCCTATCAAGCTCCGCCCACCCATATACTAAAAGCCGTCCGCGCCCTCAAGACAGGGTCCCCAGGAGTCGGTTTTTTAGAGATTTCGGACAATTTGAACTTCATGACTGTAACCAGGGCCACGGAAAAGTCTTAGAATGGCAAATACATGGGAGGGAAATTTTTGGGTGGACGCTGCCTTTAACGATCAAGCGCAACTCTGTCTCCAAAAATGCTAGAAGACCATGACTGCTGGAACTTGGATGTAGCTCATTGTTGTATCAAGAAGTCCGCATAACTTCGCAATTTTTATGGACATACAATTTTTTGAAGTGCTGGCGAAAATATACGAAACTTCGAAGAGACCTCAGTCGGCATCAAAATTTGCAAATTTGTCCTTAGCGAAATCTTCCATTGCTCTCAACATGCATCTCTTTTCAATACAAGCATTTATATACTTTTAACGGCTTCATCAAAACCAGAAGAATAGTGAATACTGCAACCAAACAGTTAACTTCCTCAGAGTCAAATACGCATCCTTTACCGAGCTATGTTTGAAAAAAGCCTACATCGATGCGAAAAACTTGTGCATTTTGTCAAGGTCGGCCCCCTTTTGACGTTCCCATTCTAGCAATGTGTTCAGTGCTGATTTCTAAAAATACATAATCAACTTTGTCAAAAAATGCTTTACAATTACTCTTACCGTTTGACTTTTTCCAGCCTGTTCAGCAGCTTGTAGTGCAATTGCGCGAATTGCTGGTGGAAAACATTTGGTGTAGTTGCCTTTTGCCGCATCACAAATCAGATCGAGCTCTTGTTGTACATGAAAAAGGATCCAAATGAGAATATGAAAAATGTATATTCCTTTTGTTTAGTGAATCCATATTACAACAGGTGCGAAATATGATTCTCTTGACTGCTTCAAATATGCACTAGACTTCCAAGTGGGCCTAGATCTAGTGCATTGGATATCATTCTACATATAATAAAGAATGGCAAGGTTTTGCACTTACATGTTGACAAGTTGCGGACTGAGGCGAGTGATTGCCGAGGGTGCGGAGGGTGCAGATTGTCTACAAGGCTAGCGTGTTTTCGTAGGGGTACAGGGGGTGGTAAATATCGTGTCTCCTCGAGGAAGGCGTCCAAAAGGGGTGCGGTTCTTAAGTGCAAAAAGGCTATAGTTGGGAAGGGGCCGACACTCTCGTAAGGTTGCTAACAGTACCCCCCCCCCCCTTCTTTCGCAAGTTTGAACTCTGCCGGTATGAATGATTAGGGACTCGCTGTCTAGCGTAGACATGCTTTAATAGTTCCTCAACGTTTACCCTTCGACTGCTCACATTTTCATTTTCCTGCTTAAGTTCTTGGCTGCCCATAATTAGTTAAAGTTCATAGCTGGCATAGTTGGTGAGAATTGATGAGGACAGTTCTCTGTTCTTGAAATAAGTTGGTAAGTCGTAAGGCTATTCTTATAGGTCTCTGCAATCATTTCTCACAACTCCAGTCTGTTCGCTGTTCATTGGGCATATCTTTCAATGCTCAATCTGTTCATAGGGCTCTTTCTTGATTTGTAGGTGCCAGTAAGGCAGTTCTACTAAAAATATTGATCTGTAAGCTCCCCTGAGGAGTTTTTTCGACAATTATCCAGTTAGCGGTTATTTGTAGGGTGGTTCCTTCTCAAAGTATCGGTCCGCAAGGGGAACATTTCATTTTCATAGCTAGTATAACAAATTGTGCTTGCTTTTTTGCATTTTCTTTCAGATGAAAAAAGAAGCTTCATTTAAACGTCTCAAAACTTACATAGGGTCAAATGTTGGATATTTCTGTCTTCAAAATGTTTTTCGCAAAACATCTCTTACCATTTGTGGAGCTTGCTCCACCTAGGATTTACGAAATAGATCATGTCATTAAACATTCTTCTACTTTGAGATGACGGTAGGAATTTCTAGCACACGCTCCATCGCAAACTGCTTGGCAATCATGAAATTATTACAATGGTGGCGGCCGCATGTGTATTTTTGGTAGGGCTCGGCACGAGCTGCACCAGGGAAACTCCAAAACGAAATTCCCTTTGATCTTGAAGATTTTGTACGAAGTCCCCTTCGAACCTAAACCTCAGACGTAAAAAACCCCTAAAAAAACGAAACGTCGAATAAAAAACGCCGCAGTTTGTAGGTCTTTTCGGCCACAAAAACGATATCCTCTTTGCTTTTTGCCTATCCAACTTGACCGGGTGCCAGCTGTGCCTAGCCCTGGTTTGGCGATCAAACTATTTTGATTTTGGACTTCATTTGCATTTTTCTGCACGCATGTAATAGCCTTTAGATAATCGAAGTAATTGAGCATAGCGCTAAAGTGATATATTTTGCCTAAAAAAGGGAAATTGTGTGCTTTACAAAGCTTAGGAAGCTTTCCGGCAGGTAAACATTGCAGAGATAGATGTAGAAAAAAATTACTCAATTTGATTTTTTGTATAGGATTGCAATGAATCCGAAACTTGCACTAAAAATCGGAACTGTTGCATTGGAGGTTTTATAAAATTGTGTTGAATAGGCTTTTCTATAAGGAGTCGCCATTTGCAGTAGCAAACGACGAATTTGATTAATTTTCTCATTTTATTCATTTTCTCAATTATAACTTTGATAGAAACGTTCAATCAGCACAAATTTTACTCGGATAGAAACAGATGTTATGGAACTTTTGATAGAAACTGCTCCACTTTTTAGTGCAAGTTTCACATTTTTGGCATTCTTACAAAAAAAATCAAAATTAAGGTGAATCCTCTATGTCTTCTACATATCTCAGCTTTATTTGCATGCTAGAAAGCTTCTAAATTGTAAAGCGCATAATTTTTTCTCTCATGTGATTGTTTGTGCAATATGATGGAGAAATAAGAAGTTACAAAGGCAGGGAAGACATAAGAACGTATGAAACATAACACGCAATGAAACTAAGCAAGCTCAGCTAGATAACCTTCAGACATACGCGAAAAATTTGAGCGTGAAATCTAGAAGAAAAAAAATGATGAAAACAGAAAAAATGATGAAAACTTGCTCAAGAAAGCCGCTTGTCATTACTTATCTATATGTACATTTTCTGCATTTTCTCCATGGCTGAAAGTTGAGAAAATAAAGATGGCACATTAAAGCAAAAACAAATGTATGTTACAAACCTTTATATGCAAAATTTTTAGCCTTATTTGAAAGTTATTAGGGTGTCTCATAATTTTTTACCGTTTTTATTACAGCCGCCGTATTTTTGCATCTTTCCTTCATTTGATGTGGCTTGAGTAATCATTCGACAGAACAAAGCAAGCTCTACAAGATAGCTATAAAAAATCCGCTCAAATCGTATTTCAACCGGAAGTTTGGAGCTGAAATCTGATACTAGTCGAAAACGAACTTTTCTGTCAAAAATTGTATCTGCTCCCCAAATCATCTAAAAAAATTCTCCATTTATCCTAGCATATGCTTGATACATCGCGTATCACTTATACACTTTCCGAATTTTTCCATGGCTAGAAATAAAGAAAAAAATGAGTGAGGTAAAATGGCAACTCCGCCGTCAGACGTCCTGAGCTCCTCTCACGCATGTGACAATATTGCCCATACATACATAAGTACAATGGTGTATTTGTTTACTTTGTAGGTTCCTCAGTTCTCGAGAAATGCTAATGTTTAGGGTAAAAATGTAAAGAATTATGAGACAGCCTAATAATTGTCGAGGTACCAGATTTAAATTGAAATACCGAAAAAGGCGACATTTTCGGTATTTTTAATTTCGGCAAATCTTTTTGCATTTTCCTGTCAACATAAGTACGGCAAGTGTCATGAATGTTCAATGTGGGTAGCTTATCTGTGATCAACTTGAAGATTCTTGGGCTCCGCTAGAAAAGTTGTGATCTTTGGGTATCTGAAAATTTTTAGATTTTCTTTCCAAATCTCGTTTATCGAATTTTCGGCGAGTGATTGAACGCCTTCAAAAAAATTGCATTGCTTTTCCGAATGATATATTTTACACAATTTTATATCTTCTTTGTTGTGGCAGGATAAGGAGCATGTGTCATGTATGCATCAACCTAATACTTCAGAGGGATACCCATAGAATGCTGTGCGTGCCAAAAATGGGTCAAATGCAGTAAAAACTCACCAAAGCTATGTTAGGGCCTAGAAGAGGTGCTAACGTCTCCTCCGTTTTGTTCAGTACCATCGCAGCGATATCTTGTGTGGCTTTGATATCGTCAAACACTTTTTGAGTTGCTTGTTTGACCTAAACTGTCGGGAAGAAGTCACAACGTTTGATATTCGCTTTTGAACTCGAAGGTGCAAGTATGGTGCTTTTCGGCTTACGTCTTTGCGGTCAACATTTCCAATTTGAATCTAGCACCTAAAGTGTCCCATAGACATAAAAAGAAAATCGCTTTTCTTCCCTTAGTTGTGACCATACGCACGTAGAAGTTCAGAGCATTTCCTTATTTTACGCATCTAATTAGATTGAAGAGTTGAATAGTTTATTAGCTCGGAAGTGAGCTGCAAAAATACAAACGCAAATACCCTAGAGTCCCATAGATAAGAGCGGTTTAATTTACCGGTGAAAAATGAATTGGAATGAAATTGAAATTGAATGCAGTCACCCCTCTAACTTGATGGATGGATAAATAAAAATCGGAGAAGAAGTTTAGAAGAAGCTCCGCCCCTCAACTCTAAATCCTGCCCACTTAATAAACAATTCATATAGAAATTCCGAAATTCCGTTAAAATCGCTATTTTCTATATGAATTGTTTATTAAGTGGGCGGAGTTTAAAGTTAAGGGGCGGAGCTTCTTCTAAACTTCTTCTCCGATTTTTATTTATCCATCCATCAAGTTAGAGGGGTGACTGCATTCAATTTCAATTTCATTCCAATTCATTTTTCACCGGCAAATCAAACCGCTCTTATCTATGGGATTTTAGGGTACGTTGGTTAACGAAAATTTTTCAACATGTATCGGGCTGCGAATTTGGGGACCGTTTTTCGATCTTCTGACCGGATGTCGGCGGCACGGCTCCATAAAATCATCTAAAGTACGGGTCTAGGCCTCAATCTGATACCCTCGGGCTATATACCAAGTCACTGTGAAATTCGCAAAGACCCCGCAAAGCCGCGTGCTGCACCATGTGCAGCATACGTCTGGAATATATTGAGATTCTTGGGTTTTGAAGGCGTAAAGCGTCGAATTATGTGAAACAGAGCAATGTACCATCTTGGTAAACCCAAGCAATTCTTCATTCACATTGGTGTCAGCTCGTTTCTATACTTACGTGGAAGTAATTGCACTTATACCCTTTAATTTCACTATTAGGTTGTCCCATAAGTCTTTTCATTTCTGAGTTGTCGCTATAGCAAGTCACATATTCTTATTCCGAATAGATATCAGGATAGCATTCGATGGAGCAAAGCAAGCTCTAAAAGATGGCGTTTATGCTTTTGCACCAGCTTCGATCCACCTCAAGTTTGAAACCAAGATCTAAAAGGTTTTGGATGCCTAGAAAATTGAAATTTTTTATATCTTCGTTCAAAAAAGTCCCACCGATCTCTCACTCGCTCACGCTTATAAATTCCACGTTAGACATTCATATGTGCTGTTGCTATATTTTTTATTAGCTAGTAATCGAGAAACCGAAAATTTCTACGTTTTTACCAAAAGGTGACGCTGTGCTCTTCTAACACTTATAGTTGTATACTAGAAGCCCATAGAAGTAATACCGTAAATTTTTGGCTCTCTATAAGCTCTGGTATACGAGAAAAATCGAATTTACCTTTCCTCACTCGGGTTTTTCACGATTAACTCAACGTTACTCGGAAACCAGAGCTTATAGAGAGCTAAAAATTCACGGTTGTACTTCTAAGGGCTTGCAGTATACAACTGTCATTGTAAGAACAACGCAGCACCACTTTGGTAAAACATGGAAATTTTTGGTTTCTTGATTTCTAGCTGATTAAAAAATACAGCAGCTCACATATGAATGTCTGATGTGGAATTATAAGCGTGAGCGAGTGAGAGATCTGTAGGACTTTTTTGAACGAAGATATCAAAAAATTTCAATTTTCTGGGCATCCGAAACTTTTTAGATTCTGGTTTAAAACTTGAGGTGGAAAATCTTGTGCAAAAGCATGAACGCCTTCTTATAGAGCTTGCTCTGCTCTATCGAATGCTATCCTATTGTCTACTAGCTGGCTTACCCGGCTCCGCCTGGCCCTGTCAAAAACGATAAAGGTTCCATTTCTATCCCTGTACCCTTCACCTGTGCCCACTTCTACATTCCCTATTCCCGCTGCGTGAGTAATCAGTTGCTCACCTACCTTCCTCACCAACCCCCCAACCCCGTAGCTCAAACTTTGCACAAAAAAAACAATAAAATCGATAAAAGTAAGGATAATTCTAAAAACTGATGGCGTTAATCGGCTATCCGGACCCCAAAATGTTTTTGTGACGGATCTTACTCAAACTCGGTATATGGGGGTTATTTAAGCCGCTGATGACAATATCATAGCCATTGCGTGGCAGCGAGTAAAAATCATAAACCTGCCTGAAACCTTGGCAGGGAATTACCTAAAGTGCTGTTCAAAGAATATCGTGCTCAATCGCCGCGATAAAGGCAATTCGTGTGGTATAAAAGTTTCCCACGACCGTAATGCTTTCCTTATAAGACCACTGCCGCGCGCGATATAGGCTGTATCAGCCAGCATCGGTCCCGCGCCAGTATGATTCGCGACGACGCACCGTCGCATGCGACCTGCCTTAACGCGTAGCAGAATTCGCACGCGTCACACCGCACCGTCGCAAGTCGCCGCAGCGCGACGTCGCAAAACCGATGCTGGCTGGTACAGCCTATACATCCTTCGGCGGCTTTTGCCTAAGCAGAAATAGGGGAAGGGAGATTTGTCGCGTGCGATACACCCTTCGGCGGCTTTTGCCTAAGCAGAAATAGGGGAAGAGACATTTGCCGCGTGCGATACACCCTTGGCGGCTTCTGCCTAAGCAAATCAGGGGTAGGGTGATTTGCCGCGTGCGTTACACGTTGGGACAGGTTATCAGGATGGCGCTGGAGACCGCCATGCAAAACGATTTCCCCATTTCATGAATATTTGGGATCTAAATTGGCCCTGTCCATTCAAATCCTGCAACTCACATAACTTCACTAATGCGTTATGACAGCGAGCAACTTTCATATTCATAAGCAGTATACTTGTGAACCGTTACAGGTAAGCTTTTGAGCAAATCTGGAACTTCGACCCATCTACACCCACCGTAACCAAAGAAAATGCAGCATCCTGCTAAATCAACATGATATTTATGTTCAGCGCGCTAAATGACCACCCTAGACGAAGTTTGAAGCAAATCTATGTTTTCGACCCCACACCGTAAATAATCACCCTAACTCTATGAAGAGGTCCCAATATGCAGAGAGAGTATGAAATTCGTAATCAGTATGTCGAATAAGTTCTCTGAACCGAACTCCAGCAGAATTCATGATTTTGACTTCCTACCGTACACCTATCGTAACCACATGGCGAGACTTTCTGCGACGAAAGTGTGATATCTGTAATCAGCATGTAAGATAACCCTTATACACGAATCTGAGCAGGCTCTAGGACAAAAAAATTTTGGGGCCCGGTTAGCCGAATAGCGCCAAACTAATATTGTAATCGTAATCAGCATTCCCAGCCCCGCAGATCAAAATTTACAAAAAAATCAAAATCAATAAAAGTAATGGACGATTTCAAAAATTAATATTGTATTCGGAATCCCCATGCTCGACTACCCCCCTGTGCAAACTCCCAGTCCCGTAGTTCAAACTTTGCAAAAATTCGATAAAATCGATAAAAGTAATCGATAATCTTGAAAACTAATATTTTATTCGGAATCCCCATGCTCGATTACCCCCCTGTGCCAACTCCCAGCCCCGTAGGTGAACTCTGCAAAAAAATCGATAAAAATCGATAAAATCGATATTGATCGATGACGAAAAGTAGCCTATGACACCCGCCGGGGCCCGAAGTGTATGTGTGCCAAGTTTGGTCCGGATCGGTTCAGAAATGGAATTTTCTATTCGGAACATACGTACACAGACAGACATACAGACAGACATACAGACAGACATACAGATAGACAAACAGACATTTAGCTTTATGTATAAGATTTAGAATAAGAAGTGTCTGACTATTGCAGCGAAAACTCAAAAATGAAAAGACTTATGGGACACCTAATAGGACGACCTAATAGCTTAGCGGCTGGAAGGCGGGGCTTCGTGACGTAATTAAGGCTAATGACTAAAGAGCATGTGGTGCGCGGTAGAAACGCAAACTGCGTCGCGGGCGCGAGCGGTCTTATTAAGTCGCAGAGCCCCGCCTTCCACCTGTCAAACCAGTTGAATCAAAGGTTACAAGGTAGTGATTGATAGCTTTATTGTTGATAACGAATGTTATATGAGTATACAGATGTCACTCACCTTTTTGTTAGCGAGAGATGAGATGAAAGCTTTGGCTGCTTCATGTTTTTGTTCATTGCTGGTGCCGCGATCCGCAAATATTTTCAAAAACTGAAAAAACTTTTGTGCTTATTATCGCTGAACAATGCTTGACGCCAATACCTCATTTTAAGCTTAGCTTTATAACCTGTAAAATAAAAAATAAAAGTGTACCTGATCTATTTTAGATTGGAACATGCCAGTTTTGTTCATTGCTTTAAGTAGCAATTGTTGATCCAGTGGAGGAGGCTGTAAGATTTCAAACTTTGCAAACAGTAGAAATTTACCAAATTTTAAAAACTGGGCCAAACGCGCAGCGTACACGGCGTACGCGAAGTACGGCGTAAGCCGCTCTATCTTTATGCACGAGGGGCTGGGGAAAATAGAGAGAAGATGTGGAGTGCAAATGAGTTGTCATAATAATAAACAGGAGCTGCAAGAAATGAGTACATACCACAGTACCTCATAATCTGTTTATGTAAACTTTTGCTCTGAAGATTTTGTGTCACAGAGGCAGCGCAATGCGCGCATATCTACCGTTGTAAACTCTGTCCCTTACTCGCTTGGCGGCTAGTAAGGCGTTCGCGCCCAGGTTTTGCGCCTTGTCCGGCAGTAGTTTTTACTGCACAATCTAGAAGGAAACCCACTCTTTCAAGCATGATTGAAGGGAGGAGTAGGGGAGGAAGGAGAGAAGAGGTAGGGAGTTTGGCAACTAAAAGCTAGGGTTGCTTTTGGTTGCGAATATCTACGTATGTTTAAAAGCATAAAAAGCCGGCTTCTGCGTTTTCTCCACTCCGCCGGAGGAGGCAACGATTTACAGTAAAGCAGAACGTGACGGTGGGAAAGTGGAGGTAATTTGTACAAAGCAAAATAACGTTCAGCCAAACCTTATTCAGAATAATTTTGTCAAGCGCGTGTCGATGAATTTATAAAATGTAGTTATTGGCGTCATGTTTCGCATTGCCTTCCAATAAACATCTTCTACAAAAGTGTTCCGACAGATTTTCATGCAGGACTTTTTTGCAATCTTTCGGGCTCCTCGTCAACCTGAACCCGAGCTTTAGACAGCGTGAAAACGACCAGATAGGGCGTTTTGCATCTTCAAAAGAAGTTTGGAGTCGTATGAAGTGCGACGTTCTTATCACAAAGATCTTGCATACCGTAATTTTTGCTTTCACTAATAAAGATAATGCGTTATGACTGTGGTCTCGCGCAGAAGAAGTAGTGGTGTCGTCCGAGTGCGTTCCAAACTGAGGCTCCCGCGCTGATATGAATGTCGAGGAAGTCAGATGTGACTTGGTCAGCAGCTCAGTATTCAAGTCCTTTGACAAGTGTGAGATATGTATCATGTTTAAGAAAAGTTGAACATCGCTTCTGAAGGTGATGCTCAACGATAACAATTGGAGTAAAGGGTAAGATGTGTCTACTTCAAGAGTCGGATAGGAAGATAAGTATTAGGTTGTAAGAAAGTTCCCGGGCACTTTTGGAAATAACGCATTTTTTCGCGCTCGGCCGGACTTTGACATCAAGTTTTTTATACTATTCAGTAGAGGGAAACCTGAAGTTTTCGATACGGCTTTCGATTTTTATCGACGATAAGATGTGCTTGATTTGTACATCAATATAGAAAATCATTCCAACCATAAAAATTTCACAATTTTTCTTCCTACGGCCATTTTTTTGTGCAGTCTAAGAATTTCGTCCAAATCATGAGTTATCTGATTGAGGAAACTGTTAACTTCTGACAGCTATACTCAAGTTTTGCGATTTGCGCTCAGAAATTACAAGCTGTCGAGCTTGCCTCTGACTGCAACTCTTTTTGCAGCTGGCGCCGCTTCTGCGGGGATCGACGCCTGGATGATGGGTCTAGAAGATGTGCAAGGCATTACCCCAACAATGTAATGAGTAATCAAAGATCTAGTTCACCCTGCGCAGAACGACAAGACTTCAAAGTCACTTACTCGAAAAATGGTGCACTAAGGGCAAAAAATGATCGATTTTTCAAATTTTCTGGAAAAATTTTTTTTGCATATGGTCTTTCAAAGGCTTAAATAGTCTACATAACAGCTCCAGCAGACTTCTATATATCTACAGCATTTGAGCTCTCCAGCTTTCATCGTGCCTGAGATAATCCTGCACAAATAGGCCACTTTTGAAGACAACCTTTTTCCCTTCTGCACATGCTGGTGGACCGCAGTGAGGTGCTGAAAAGCCAGCAAGACAGATGTATGTTGCGGACAAAATTGTCTTTGCAATGAAGTTTGTAGCTTCAAAAAAGAATCAGTCTGTTTGAAGTTACAGCGATTTGAAAAAAATTTTTTACAAGTGCTGGGAACTTTCTTTACGACCTAATATTTATTTTATGTCACGGAAAGGGGGTGTACTTTATGCTTCATATGAAGCCAAAAATTTTGAATAGATGTGTCTTATAGTTATGAATTTCCCATATTACGGAATATGATGGATATCATATTCCGTAATATGGGAATTTTGATGTCGTAAATTTCGATTCAGAATAATCGCGGAATAAGCTAGAGTTTTTCGTCTGAAAACTTGCACTTTAAGCAAGCAAGAATGCTACAGAAATTGTATTTGAAACGAGAGACTCACATTGATAGTTCCATGAACTGCAGCAAGGAAGAATACTGTAAAATACTCCAACAGTCTGAAACAACTCATGAGGCTCAATTGAGCTGGTGAAGCAGTCAACGCGTAGAGGGATTATCCTCTATTAAAACGATGAAGGTGCATGAGATTTCCAGTGCGCGCGGTTCTGAAAGGTTGAAACAAAAATCACGGTTTGTAAGCTGGTGTGGACTCAAATAAAACTGCTGTGAGTCAAGGAAATGAAGCGCTGTATCTTAGAATGGTGCAAAAATTAAAGTGTTTTCCTAACCCCTTTTTAACAGCTATTTTGCGCCATACTTTCTCCGCGAGATATACTAAGCATAACCTTCCATGATCATTTTCTTCAAACTTTGGCATTGTTGTAGCTCCTCAGTTATGTTTTAACATACAGGGTTTGTTATGGTGGCACCTTTTTTGATCGACCTTAAGTTCCAACGGCTTCGTCGTCTTGAAGGCAGCGGCTCGGCAGATTGACCTACCTCAGATTTTAACGCAGATGGATAGGAGGCCCTCCAAGTGAACCAAAACAGCAACTGCGCGCCGAAAATGTGAACTCTGCAAGCCAGGGGGCGGTCCAAGCGCCGCTCCCCTTCCTCCTTTCGCTCCCCTAACACCTTGTTTGGACGAGTATTCTCCGCTAGACGGCGCGGGACCCCCCAACCGCTTTCCCGCATTGTACATGCTATACAAAGCCAAAATTACAGGCAGCAGGGTCTTCGTGCCAGGGCCTCCCGCATACCCTCGATACATAGAGCCACATACTCTGGTAACTTTCACTTTGAGGGCTATGAGGGGACACAACCTTCACCTGGGAAAAAAACAGAAGTCATCCGGGGCGAAGCCCCGAATGTTATTATCCTGACTATATCGGAATAATTTGAATGAACCAAATACAGGAAAGAATATCTGAAGAATATCTCAGCGAAACCGAGAAATTGCTTTTTTAAAGCCTTTTTTATGCTGAAAAGAGAATTTTTGTGAAAGTTTCCTTAGAATTCAGGACAACGTTCCTCAGTTAGCCTCTCACTTAACCAAAAATGAGTTTCAAAAGTTTTAAAAAGCTGTTGGAGTTGAATTAAAACGAGAAACTGCGCCTAAATGTGCGCAGAGAGTCGCGCACGAAAATGCTGGTCTATCTCTTTAGTAAGTGACTTCTAAAGCTTGGGGCGTTGTCAGTTCTCATCGTCGTGTCATGGCGATCAGAATGATATATAATGTTGTAGGGTTTCTTCGTTGAGACCCCGACGAGATCTACGACCAGAACCAAATGCCCCGTCGGCTCTGGTCTGTCTCCGCTGCTCGTCTGCGCCTCCGCGCGCTGCGCGCTACCTCGCTACCTCAAACGCGGGGCGCGGGGCATTTGGCTCTGGTACCCTTTTCTCAGCTGTTTCGAATCCAATTTTGACAAGCTATATATCGTTTTGAAGCTCTTTATCTCTACTTTTACGCTGACAACGTCCCAAAATCACATTTCTTGATTTGAACGAGAAATCCGGCAAAAACCTTGTTTTCGAAAACCCCTTGTTTTTCTTCTAGTTTACCTCTTTTTACGCTGTTTTTTCGTGCATTTTATAGATCTTGCTTCTGTTGATAATGCAGACAACCACCCAGCCTTTATCTCTTCGATTATTGTGGAATTTTTTGCGAAAAATCGTAAAAAGTGCGTTTTTCTTTACCTTGTTCTGTTTCAGTGCTTTCGCATCGATTTTCTTCCAGCTTGGGCGATTGTTGCTCAGAACAATAAGCGCAACAATCTAGACAACGTCCCAGGAAACAGGAACGTCAATGCGGGGGTAAAAATTCAAAGGACGCATCAAAAATCAAAACCCCGTGTTGCGAATTGGTGGTCCTGTAGCGAAAATTTGCACCTTGAAAAGCCGCCAAATGAAAGATTTCAAGCCTCACTGCAGCGTTTTTATTCAGTTTTCAGCGTTTCTTTTGCTTTTTATATGTGTTTTATGTCATTTTCTCTTCTCTGATAATCTTTAAACAACCTTCACTATTTATGACGTCAGATGTTCAAACAACCTTCACATTTGACGCCCTGTCTCTGGACTATCGAAGGTATGGCCTCCCGACTTTTCTTTGAAAATTCTCGTCCGAGCTTCCTTTTGGAAATTGAAAAAAACGCCCCGAAAAAGGCCTATTCACCCCTTCTAAAGCTCAGATTCGGGATCTACGGGTTGAGAAAGCCCAAAACATGCAAAAAGATGGAAATGCATCTGCCGGGACGCTTCCTTTAAGAGGCTTGGAATAGATTCAAAGTATATTCTGCGGGACTATGCCGACAAATGCCTCCTCTAATCTTGCTAGCTGCGGCGTCGTTACCAGTCCACTATATAGAAACACGAGGATGAATTTCCCCTCGCACCAGCGTTATATGTGACGTCTAATGAAACCAAGTGAGCATGGCATACAATTGAACTATGCTGTAGAGTGTCCAGTGAATCTTATCCACACGCTATAGCTCGCATAGGGATAAGAAGCGTAAGAAATCAGCAGTTATCGATGAGCAGTCGTTTTTATTGTTCTTCTCTGGATTTTTGGTAGATATAGGCAATTCATAGCACGCAAACACTGCGGACGTATCGACGCTCTCCGATCGAGCGCTCTTTAGTTTCTCTTACCATCTGCTGTCTCTCCCATGTAAGAACATCTCGGTCGGACGCAACGGCGCCCAGTCTTTGCGTGTCATGAATCGTGTATACTTGGCAGACTTCCGAAAGCTTCTTTTATGCCCTTGCTCACAACTATCGAAGCAAGCCATAGCCTTATAAGAGAAACAAACGCCCGCACAACCCGAAATTTTAGATAAACTATCTTGATAATTCAAGCACAAATAATTCTTTTTGAAACACATCACAATATGGGCATAAATCCCTTCTTCATTGTGGACTCAATCATATCTGTGGACATTCTACGCTCGAAAATTTCTTCTGAGAGGTGGTTGTCCAAGCTAAAACTTTGGAAATATCGATAAAATCGATATCAGTAGTCTACGATACCCCCCCCCCCCCCGCCCCGAAGTGTATGTGTACAAAGTTTGCTCCGTTCGGCTTAGAAATAAAATTTTCTATATGGAAAATATGTACACACCAGTGACGGTCCCAGGATTTCGGATCGGGAAAGAGCCAATTATTTCAAATGAACGTGCATGGCGTTAGCCACGTACTCCGAAAAAAATATTTGGGGGTGCTTTTCAAAATTTTTGTGGGTTTCCAACCTCTAAAATAGGAAAGGAAGCGTGGCGTCAGCCACGTACTCCGAAAAAATTTTTTTATAAGGCTAATTTGAATTTTTTTAAAAATTTTAAAAATCATTTTTATTATTTACAAGAATAAACAAGTCACTTGCACATTTTTATGACCCGTGCAAAGCCCCCCCCCCGTCCTCCTCCCCCTCGGTCCGCTACTGGTACACACTTACATACGTATATACAGACAAACATACGTTCAGCTCCATATATAAGATGTAGGCCACTTTCAACAATTTGGCTGCTCAATCTCGAAGGAGGGGGGAGGGATCCCCCTTAATCCGCCACTGCTTCTGCCTCGAAATTCTCAGGTTTAATATCACTATCAACTGAAGGCCCGGAAGACATTTGTTATGCTTTATCACAATTATTTGATTGCATGTTTCTTACTTTTAGTCACTTTATTTGTGTCTAAAATGCTTCTTTAGCGCACCAAGGATGCATCGAATTTCGCGCACGCAGTGGAGATCGGCAACTTCATTCGCAAATACTATCCAGCACCAAAACAGACCATAATAACGATCTCTTCGGACGACCCTTAACAGCAACTTTTTTCCATTCTTTGATGCTGCGTTAAAGAGCAATACTTTGCCGTTTATTGCGTCACAACTTTGGCTTTATTCCAGAGTTTTGCCCAAGGTTTGGTAGCGTATTACGTGAGAATGGTTTGAGTTCACAAATGGCATGCCTATTGTATGGTTATCCCGGTATAATGTTTTTTCATAGTTTGGGAAATGATTTACAAACATCTCGTTCGTTTTTATGTAACCAATTGTTGCACTGATAACTGCATCCCACATTGTAAAGTCAAATGTGTGCTTTGAAATAGCTTAGGCATGCGGATGTTTGCTTAGCTAAATGTCTAATGTTAGTGAAAAATGTCTTAGTTCTGTACAAGTAATGTTTGGAAATCAATCAATCTACTAAAGGTTACAGCACAGCTTTGTTAATTTTATTGGTATCTCATCTGTGCGTAGATCATGATTTCAATATTTTTATGCTGTACAAGATGACTGGATGCTCTGTTATTTATCGCCGTTTCACTTTACCACACTAATTATGGAGACTAAGGAGCCACTTAGCCACTTTGTAGTTTTCGTAGCGAATGTCTGTGCTACTTCGCATTTAACGTCAGATATTTGCCTACTGTCACAGCTCAAATGCGAGAATTCATAGATTGTTACATTTCTGAAATTCGCCGCATGTAAGAAGCGCAGCGTTACGCAAGCGCTAGAAGTACACGTGCATAGATATCTAGTTGTGCATGCTTGGAAATTCTTGTTATGTATGTTGCAACAAATTTTGTTTTGAGAGTAGCAAATTGTACGCATGGATACAGTTTAGGCAGTTACGAATACGTGAACTGCGCAATTTTTTCAAAACATAGTACCGTCTTAGTAAATCTGCAAATTATTTCCATTGTTACGTGCAATCTACACTGCTAATCCTGATTTTGTGATAGAGTAGCTAAGAAATGTTGAAACAGTAATACTTCATGAAAAAAATGTGCAGTATTATGCGATCGTTTTCTGATGTAGACCTGCTTTCCGTTTTATTGTTGTGTGCTCATTAATTGCTAAAATAGACGAATTCCTGCTATGCCAGTGTCATCGTCCAAATAATAGAACATCAACAGAAACTTATTTAATTCAACTTTCTCCTATTTACTAAAGCTATCTCGCGAGCATCATTGAATGGAAGGTAAAGATTGTTTGAAGTTTTTCAACCAATTTATGAAGAAAAACTACTGATCATCCAGGAAGGCGAATTTTAATGATAAGACTCTCCTACTGTGTTCCATCACTGACACTATACGTCTTCGTTTTAGTGGCTCTAATAAAGGAGAGAAGATCAGTTGCATTTTCAGCAAAATATTTCTATTCCCTGCTCATTGCGCAAGCAATATTCGTAAGACTTCTACAATGCTACTAATTACATGTTGCTAAGATTTCAGAATATATCGACGTTTATGAATTTTTTCTACATAAACCTAGCTGGAAGCATTAGTATCAAAAGTTGGTTGAGCGTACTCTACATAAATGTTCCAACGTTTATTATAACAGTGGTAAGTATCGCGTATCTTGACGTCCCGATTTACACATATTCCTGACGCCCTAATGTTGGTCGAAGAGTCGAGTAGGGACCAAGTTTTTACGATACCTGCAAAATCTCTTTTATGCTTGTGATTAGGCACATGCAAACTTGTCTCCTTGATCCACTTGGTTTATTTAATCCACTTTACTGATGGTCAAGTCGGTGCTTTAATCATTCAAGAGGATCAAGTACAGCGTGCGCCTATCGCGCAGATCAGGTGCCAATTTAGTGAGAAGCTGAAAAGTTTGATCAAGCCAAGGAGGCCTTCTCTAACCTCTAAGCCTGTAATGGCTAGCCTAATAAGCACGGTTCCCAAGCCTAATGTAACAAACTACCCAATCTCTGAAGTGCTATAAGAGAGATAATTACTCGAAATCAATCTGTTAATTTATATACCTCCAGGCCAGTACTATCACTTTCCACGCAGTGTTTGTGCAAACATACATGACTTTCTTCGTATCTCTACATCGAATGACGCTCATCACACATCCGACTGCACATGTAAGTGCAGCTTCCCTTATTTTCTGAAGAAACAGTATAGTAACGATAGCAAGTGGCGCAATTGTACAGCTGAGGATAACCTCCGATTTCATGGCTTTTGAAGCATGTGATGATCTACTGGAAAAATTTGAGACATATTCTCATCTGACAAACGATTTGGTTTTTTCAGTGGAAGTATTTGCTTTCTGCAAGTATTTTGATAACCTTGCTCACTCCTCTGATATCTACATATAAGCTGATCATCGGAGAATGTTACTTTGCGGTGAATACTGCCACGGAGTCTTTGGTCTTAACCTTGGACCGCGTAAGTGAAAACTTCGAAGATAGAGCGTAGCAAGAATCTTGCTCTTTGCTTTCAGAACGTAGTGCAGGTCGTCATGAAAGAACTGTTGAGTTTCATGTGTTTATTCACACTTCTTTCGTTTGGGATTAATATTGTCTCCGTACTGCTCCTTTGCTTTCGTACAAAGAATCTTACTGACAGCAAAGCAGAGAGAAATATGCTCATATTAGCCATTCTTGATTTCTTTGTGGAATCGGTGGTCTTTGGTTTGTATGTGAGTTTTATTTAAAGAAGTTTGACAGAAAATGACTGAAATTCGGTATCATGGAATTATTTTACTTTACCAATCTTAGCATTATATGTATCGAATATAACCTCCGAAACAATTTTGTCTTGCTTGTAGATTCATAATTCAAATTTAGCTCAATGAAAGACTCTTTTGCTCTGCACGGAACAAGCAACTTGTTACGAAAAGGCTGACGCATTGTTACAAAACAACATCTGCTAACTTCCGTTTAGTAAGCTAATGGATTAGCACAGACATTACAATGGTTCGCAGAAGAAATTGCTGTGACAGTGACATTTATGACAATGTTTATGGTTTCAAAAAGATTGGCATAACGCGAAGCCAATGAAGTTTGCAAATAACACCGTAATAGAATTTTATATACAACTGCATATTGATAAATTTACACTTTCCGCTTGCGAACAAAAAGGATGCACACTCGCTCTGCCTTTTCTGTACTGCCTCTAGAAAGAGAAAAGTGGCGTGCAGTTCCGCTCACAAGGGAAGGATATCAACATCAGTCGGCGATTAAAGATGAGATGTATATCAGTAGACGCGCCTTTCAATGGTGATTCCGAATCTGCTTTCCTTTTTTGCAAAATGAGTTCCCGAAAGAAATTGTAGGCGTTTGAATGTTTAAATTTGTCAAAGTTTAGGTGGTCTAAAATTGGCGAAAAGCTGTAGACAAACACCGGAAAGTGGAAAATTATTTTTGTAGTGAGTATATTTGTATGTATTGTATTGGATTGTTTGCAAGGAAGGAACAAAGCCGTGGAAATCGCGTAGGTGTTGTTTTAGAGCTTTTCGCTGATTCTAAGCCACTCAATGCTTGGTGAATCTGGATATTCAAACGCTCATAACTTCTTTCGGAAACCTATTCCGCAAAAGAGGAAAACAGGTTTGGAATCAGCGTTCAAAAGCGTACTAAAGTTATATTACGTTGATGCATAATTTCTGCATCAAAATAGGTACAGACCGCAATAATCCGGGATGATCCTATATCTCAAATAGGATTCGATATATCATTAGATAGAGCAAACCTAGCTCTACAAGATAATGCTTAAAGTTTTGCAGCAGCTTTGATCCAAACGAAGATTGAAGCCAAAAACGAAAAAGATGCAAGCACCCCAAAAAACCAAGGAAAAAATTGGAAGTCCGTTCAGAAAAATCCTTCAAAATTCCTAGCTTGCTCATGCATTGTCTTTCGTATAAGACATTCCTCTATGCAGTTGCAGTATTTTTCTCTCATCTAGAAATTGAAAAAACGAAGTTTTTCATGTTTTCCCAAAACAATGCTGAGATGTTCTAGCACATACAATTGTATACAGGACCTACAGGACCTTAGAAGCGTGAGTGTGAATTGTCAGCTTTTTACAACAGCTGACATAATATCGAATTATGACAACAGCTTTACAACATCGAATTTTTGGCAACTAGGCAAGAAAAATTCGGATAAGGAGAGCTAGATTCGTCATTTCTTGTACTAGCTGTACTAGAGGGCTGAAAATGTGAAGTGTTACTGCCAACGGCATGTACTATACTGTTAGTGCTAGAACATCTCAGCACTAATTTGGCACAAACATGAAAAACTTCATTTTCTCATCGCCTAGCTGAGAAAAAATACAGCAACTGCATAGATAAATGTCTTACATGGAACATGAGAAAGCAACAACTTTCGTAGGAGCTTTTTGAACGGACTTACAATTTTGTTTTGATTGGTCTTAAAATTTTCGGACGCATGGTTTTTTCGGTTTTCGGCCTAAAACTTCGCTTGGATCAAAGCTGCTGCAAAACTTCAAACAATATCTCGTAGAGCTAGGTTTGGTCTATCTAATAATATATTGAAATCTAGATAAAGGATTATTCCGGATTATTGCGGTCCGTACCTATTTTGGTGCAGGAATTATGCATCAAGCCAACTAATGCTGGTATCCATCCCTTGTCAGTTTGGAGTATCATTCCCCTTCGTGCACAAAATTTCTTCAGTTCTAAATGCGTTTTACATGCTCCAAACGCATATTGTCAAGAGGAGGGTCAATCCGGATAGACTTACCTGTAGTCGGACTTATTCATAAGAATCAGGCAATCCAAGCATGCAGATTTTTCGCTCCTTCATTGAAATGAGTGAACTTTCCTGCAATAATCTGAAGTAGTAGAAATAATATAACTATTAGTTTTATCTGTAACTGACTGAAGCTGAGCAGAATGCTTCCTCACAAGAATCGTAGGCACCTGATGCAAGAACTTGAGAAAAAGTTCTATTTTCAAAGCTTGAAATTAAGAGTGAATGCAGTTAGTGTTCGTAAAATTGAGAGTGAATGCAGTTAGTGTTCGTACTAGGTCACATGGGAACGGTAGTTTTGACTTTTTAATGTATTTTCACTTGTTTCTGCTATATGTTATCACAACGTCATAAGGACATTTTCATACAAAAGCTCAATGAAAAGCCTCACAGGCAAGGTTTCAGGCAATCCATAGTGACCAGTATACTAATCATATCCGAGGACTGCAATGGTAACTATAAGAAAATTTTGAAATTTGACTAAAATCTTGTCAGAGTATATCTACTAAAGTTGAACAACCAAGCGAAAAATTTTCATCCGACCAGTGTCGCGGTTTTTTGGAAACAAATTTATTCCAGCTTTGCAATCTCAGCAAACACATTCAGGCTGTGATGTTTTACAACCTTACATCATTTGCACTTTTATCCATACTGATCCCTCACTCCTTGGATATCCTCATCTTCTCAAACGCATATTTGCTTATGATCTTGAACAAACGGATTCGACATCGCGTTTTTGGTTTTATGAATTGTTCAGGTGGTTGCAAAAGTAGCGGTTCTTTCCAATGAAGGGCAATACGTTCAGTTTCAGGAACATTGCAAAACAATGTTGCAGCTCAGTCATCTACTGCGTGCAATTTCCGAGGAGTGCATATCACCCATTACTAACTCCGCTCATGAGCCAAACGTCGCTCTAAGCTGTCTAGAATGAGACGCTTACTGTATATATTTCAAACAAAAGATGCTGTACTTTGTTACAAAGCTTGTAATATACTTTCTCGACTTTATCGAATAACTGCCTAAATGTTGAGTTTGAGAAGTAAGGTAGACGACTTGGCTGTTACAGCTGTCTCCTGAGTGTTTCACATAACCCTTCAGCATTTGCATAGTAAAAAAAATTCAAAGAAGAAACGGGCGTGGCCCGTTTTTCCATCTTTTTCATTGAAAACGGGCGTTGCCTGTAAACGGGAAAAAACTGAAAAGTAAGAAGTTTCCCACTTTTCAGTTTCATAAATCGTTTGAGGGTAACCTAAGCTTAGACGCCTGAATGCAAAGGGAACAAGCATCTTACGGGAGTAAGTTGACATAATGTCACGAACTATAATCGATGATAAATGAGCCAATCGCCGGCTTCTTTGAACAGCTACAAAATGGTGAGGCATTTTGTGGCTATCCAATGGCCATTTTGCGGTTTTTTGTCAGCTTTTTTAGATCAGATTTTCCCAATTTATCATGTAGGGTGGCGGCTCCGTAATTACTATCCTTCCCTGTTTCCGACTGAAGGCGACACGCTACTTTATTCCACATTTTTGCAATGTTGTTTACTTACTCAGTTTCTGCATACGTTCACATATATTAAACAGATATAAAAGTGTCAATTTATCACCCTCATGTCGGCGTTACTTCAACTTCTCTTTGGCTCATTGATGTTGCTAAAAGCATGTTTCAAGCAAGTGCCTCCAAGATCCTGTAGCAGTTGGCATGCTTCCTCAAATAGGCTGGATGGATTTCATGGTGGCTTTGCTAAACAAAGGCTTTGTTTCTGTTACCGTGACTTTTGTAGTCCACGTTAGAACGAAAGGCAGATACCAAAGTAGCCTCGACACCGTCTAGACGTAGTTTGTGTTTTATCTCTTGTGAAATCGGCATGTTTGTGAAAGTAAGGTTTATCCACTACATTTGACCGAACAACAAGCAATCTTGTATAGTGCACACACCTACATAGAACGGTAGTCTTGATGATTCTCTTTCTAAAGAGAAAAACATTTTTGTGTCTCTACTGTTTCAAAATCGTTATCTTCTTATAAAAGGCTGAATGCAACGTGTGATGTATGTTTGATTAAGTCCTACAGACCGAAGATCTTTAGAGAAAGGTGATTTGGTGATGCAGTTGTGAATACATGATGATTCACAGCGCTCATTCGAGCAAGTCAAAGCCGCAGTAAGATCTTACCAGTGAAAATAGCGTTTGGCGCTTGCTAAGCAGAAGAGTTTGAAAGGTCTTTTTCGATAAACACTGTAATGTATTGAAAAATGCGAAAGTTATTTTCTTACGGCCATTCTATGCTTTGTTTTTGTTTGACAGCTGAGCTTCGCTTTTAATTATTTTGAAAGTTTTTTTGCATCCGTTGCTCTACTACTGCTCAGTGTATCAATGAAACAAAAGTATTGCAGCAACAAATTGAGTGTAAATCGCAATAAGTCATGTTTCTCTCATATTCCAAATAGGATCTGTTACGCTTTACAACATTGTGCTCAATGGTTCGCGACAATTGAAATTTGAGACCAAAAACTAAAAAAATCTATGCTTCCGAAAAGCTTGAGAAAATATTCGTGAAATCCACAAGTTTCAAGAAACTGCTAAGAAAATTCTTACTTGCTCACGCATAAACATTCCATATCAGACATCTATTTGTGCAGTTGTTGTATAGGGACCTGCAGGATCGCGAGAGTCGGACGTGCGTACGGCCATTGAGCCGCGCACTTCAGATGTGCGTTCGATGACTCAGGTAGGTGCCAGACGTATCATGTTGAACAGGTTCATTCGGTTCACCACCTTTGCTGTTGGACAGTGTAGTGATTTGACCTATGAACAGAATGAACCGGTCGGACGTGCGCGGCGCAATGGCCGTATGCACGTTCGACTCTCGCGATCCTGCAGGCCCCTGTATTCTTTTTCGCCTAGAGATAGAGAAAACGGGATTTTCAAATTGTTATCAATTTATGCTGACCTGTTTGTACACTAGCAATTGTACACTACAAACCTTCAAAGAAATAACCGTGAATTTTTACTTTCTACAGCTGGTTTCTGAAATTGAATTTGGCATAAAAAACCTGAATGAGAGGAACTAAACAAAGCCTAGCATCACTTATGCGAAAGTAAAAGAACTTTCGTTTTTTCTTTTTCAGCCAAGATAAGTGTAGTAAGAATGTCTGGCGCAAAGAGCATTTACTCTGACGAGTTGCAGGTGTAAAAGCTTTTTGAACAATGTTGCGGACTTTTCCTGTTTTTCGGGCAGTTGGATCTCTTTAGTTAGTGCCCCCAGAGTTCTCGTGGATGAAAGCTGTTGCAAACCTTCAAATAGTCTTGTGTAAGTAGCTTTGCTCTATCGAGTGATGTATCAGATCCTAACTGGAATATGAGAAAATATGAATTATTGCGGTTTAAACCTGTCTTGTGCAAGACTTATTTTCAATCTAATATAAGAACCCTGTTGAATGCTCATCTTTTTCCATGTAGCTGATTGCTGATTTTGGAAAAGTGAGGCTTTCTTCACGAAGTTGCGAATCATCCAAGTGTTCGGTCTTTGTCCATTGAAGTAGATGAAGAAACCTTTAAAGGCAGTGTCCCACCAGACTGGGGATATCTGGCAATCGTAATGATGTGATAGTAGACCCCCTACCTAAGCGATGACTGAAGTTCGGAGCGAAAAAGGGGGTCTATCAAGCTTGAAATTTGCTCCGAAAGTGGGCCGAATCTTACGGTAGGGCCGAACGCCGCTCACTCGGCATTATCGATTTGCAGGGCCAGAGTGCGTATAGCGCACACATCATGAGCGCAGGGACCCGCAACGGCTCTGCGTCTCTACCTTGCATGCACCTCGCACTCGCCCGAGGCTACCGTAAGATTCGGCCCACTTTCGGAGCAAATTTCAGGCTTGGTAGACCCCCTTTTTCTCTCCGAACTTCAATCATCGCTTAGGTAGAGGCTCTACTATTACATCATTACGAGAGCCAGGTACCCCCAGTCTGATGGGACGCTGCCTTTAGCGTTTGATAAGCGCGGTAGAGGGTGAGGTATGGCACGCCACACCTGGGGCGTGTTGAGAGTCCGATAGAGGAGTCGTAATCAAGGTGAATCAACGGCAATGAATGAGTGAGAGGATGGCTCTCCAAAAGAGATTCACAACAGCGTTGCACAGTCGAACAAAATAATATAACTACTTGTAGGAATAAATTGTTTTGAACACCATGTCAAAAAATCCTATTTAATATCGAAACAAATTCTTGGATAGTAATCTGCCACCGTATACTTACCGTATGTCTAACGTAGAGGCCCTAATGCAAAGTACGTCATTCTCGGTACAATCCGGATACCTTATGCCAAGTTTTAACGAACTCCTAAGTCTCCGAATAGTGAATGAACTTGTACGGAAAAGTATTCAAACGTGATTAACTTTGCTTTGAAGGTGAGCAAGCTAACTCTTTTTGCAGTCAGTACAAAGCACTTTTTCTTCTTTCCTCATATATCCAGCTTTAAGTAGCCGCCAAGCTATGGAACTAGACGCCAGCCAAATTCTTGCTTTCCCGCTTTCAATTCCAATGTCGCGCTTTCAGCAACTATTACTCAGCCTAAGGCGACAAATCTAGCTCATACTCATAGTACGAGGTCTGTTCTGTCAAATGATTTATAAAAAAGTTCACCCAAAAGGGTGTGACACAACTCCTTAGAAGGTGTGGCTGCTACACTATTCAGTGGGGGTGCCACATCTTATTGGCTTACCTGCAAAGAAATCAAACGTTTCCCTGTTTCATATTATTCCTACTTTTGAACTTTTTTCCAGTAGAATTTTCCCCCACTGTATCTTCTAGTAGATTTAGCGGTTGTTCCAAACCATACGTTTTGGCAGCACCGAGAATACTGGGTTACGGTAGTGCGTTAAAAAAGTGCGAAGACACACGTATGCGCTCTTGAACTGCATATCCCAAAATCTCATTTTGTCTGACGCCATTCCAATTTGGCTTTATTACAAAAGTCTCCAGCTGTCCTTGAAAGGTAAGGGCTACAGTTTGTGTCAATTTTATTCTTTGCTTGCTTTTTTTTGGTTTTTGGTCTTCTATTCACCATCACAGGGGGCCTCAGCTCCAAACCTGTCTGCTTTTGACTTTTTGATGGGCACGCATGGGAGGGGAGCGGGAGAGTGCCGGGGGGGGGGGGGGGAGTCTGCTGAGACCCCATACAGAGGGGAGGGGTCGTATCAGGTCATCTGTTCCACATCCCTTGCTCGTGATGAAAACTGTTGAATTTCCGCCTTCTTCTTACGTAGCGACTTCAACAAACCGTTAACGGCTACAAATTAGTGGTCTAAAAAACTTAGGGACGTAGACTTGCTAGAACATCAGGAAATCTCAATATTTCTTGTGAGAATGTAAACAAGCACTCTATGTCATTCCTTCAGGTAAATCCGTCTATCGTTGCTTTTTCACAGCAATAAAGTTTTCATGAAAAACAAATCTGTATAGAAAACCAAGAAAACAGGCCTCTCCGTTTGCGTTTGTCCCATACTCCATTTCTACAGATATTTTGAATTTTACAATAGAGATATCAACAGCCTTGCACTGAAGGAAGACTTTCTATTGTGACTTCACATTGTAAAAAGATTACATTCATTAATTCGCCTTAAGATTAACAGCGACGATGCAAGAGGTCCCATACTAACGGCATACCCGGCTTTGTCAAGACGCTATGATAATGGATAGCCTAATCCTGTACAACCTTTCCTTCTGCCCACCTCTACATGTCACTATCACGTTTTGTTTTCGTAATCAGCATGCCCACCTATTCCCATCCGCCAACTCCCAGCACCGTAGCTCAAATTCTGCAAAAAAAAACGATAAAAATGAAAATGAATGAACTTGTAGACTAATAATGTATTAGTAATCAGCATGCCCACTTACCCCATGTACCAACTCTCAGCCCAGTATATCAAAATTTGCGAAAGGTCGATAAAATCGAAGGATGAAATCAATAATCTCAAAAACTAATATCATATGATCAGTATACTTGGGTAATTCGATAATTTTTCATCGAATGAATGAATATCGAATGAATTCGAAAAGGAAAAATTTCGAATAAACGAATATCAAATAAATTCGAAAATAAAAAATTTCGAATGAATGAATTTCGAATAAATTCGGAAAATCAAAAATATCGAATGAATGAATTTCGAATATATTCGGAAAATCAAAAATATCGAATGAATGAATATCGAATATATTCGAACATTGAGAGTCGAATTTCGAATAAATATTCGAATGATTTATCGAACAACTAAAGCAATCACATCTCAAACTTGCCGACATATCTGGCTAAAGCCGATCCAATCATAATCAGCCCCCTAGTATCCCCTATACCAACCAACTCCTAGCTCAAAATTTTTCAAAAATTACTAAAATCAATAAAATAGATTTCGGTTTTAATCAGCACCCTCACTTACCTCTTTGTACCAACTCCCAACTTCCTCAGATAATCGCCGGGGGCAGGCGGCCATGTGAGTGAGCAAGCGCGCACCGGAAAAATAGTTCGCTGATTTCTTGCGGTCCGCTTGCAGAAATTTGGAATAATTTTAGCGAAATTTTAGATGAATGCTTGGAGGACAGTCGCGGTTTCCTTATAGATTAGCTGCGGCGCAGTGGCCGCATTCTCGCGGACTTTCCGCGAGAATATGCAAAAATTTCGAGGGCCGCAAGGTCCTTTGTGGAGGACCGCGCAACCCCCAGGTACTTTCCGCTGAGCGAAAGTACCTCAAACTTGAGTAATCAAACCAACGGTGACACCTCTGCCACACAGAGTCTTACCTGTGCTCGACGTAAGCCCGAAAATGCATAAAAGAGTCCGAGCGCTTGCTGAAAGTTTGGCCAGCGCTCGCTGAAAGAAATTATTTGCCGAGCGCTTGCGAAAAATGCTGTATTGCTGCCCGCTGGCAGAATATGCGACCGTAAAGGAAATGCCGCCCGCTGAAGGTTTGGCCACGCCCCAAAATTCTGCTGACCGCCTGCAGAAAAGCGCGAGTTTGCGGACCGCCTGCCCCCGGCGAGATATCTGAGTCGTAGCTCAAGATTTTCCAAAAATCGATAAAATCGATGAAGTAAATTTTTATTCATAATCATCACCCTCACTTACCCCTTGTACCAACTCCCAGCCCCGCATCTCAAGATTTTCCAAAAATCGATAAAGTCGGTCGGCAACTAGTCTATACACCAGCAGAAAGTCATATTTTACCCATTATTGGACGATATAAAAAAGCAGTCGATAATTTTCATGCTGTGCTCAAAAGATTATTCTTCATATGGTCTGAAAGAGACTGATGTACGCCAGAATTAACTTTATTTCTTATCAGCATCAATGGCTTGCTCTACTTTCTACATGATTGGGATACTTTTCTTCCACGTACTGTAGGAATATATGATGGACATATGCAAAACATTATACTTCTTCCATATCAGGATTAACAATGTAAAAGCAAAGTGATTGATCTACTTTCTACATACATGGAAAACATCTTAAAGCATGTTGAAATATGTATGATATATGGATATGGGCAAAACACATCAGCATCATCAATGTAACGCACGGTATCTAGATTTCCACGCTTTCTTCGGAAAACTCCTCCTCTGAATCTTCAGATGAAGACTGTTCAGAACTAACGGATGGTGGGTTGGAACCCTTGTGACAACTATAACGCTCAACTTCTCTCTGACTCCAAGCTTTGCAGGCCCTGAACACTTGCGTTTCATTTTTTTCTCCATTGAATAAAACAAGTCACCTGCTTGTGTCTTTGTTAGTGTTAGCGTTGATCATGAGGAAAAGCCTGGCGGTTTTTCCTAGCAAACGTTGTCTTCTTTTGTTTCCAAAAATGATCCCGGCGGTGCTTAAATTAGCATATTGTCCAACGCATATATAAAGGGAACACAAACCTAAAGAGTCTCTCGCTATCAACTGATGTGCACGGAGCAGCAAAGTATTCCAAGGCGGATGACGCCAGTAATGGAAACTGTTGGTGACTATGCCACCAGGTCACTGGATCGGATTAAGCATGTGGGCGTGCGTTACCGCGATTCAAATGAATCGAATACTGCTGCAGCTCCATCTAAACGCAATAAACTGGGGGCCTGATAATCATTACCGTATTTCAAATTACCTGCAGATCTTCTTCCTGTATTTGCGAGGATCTGGTGGGTGGACTTGCCGGTTGCGAAGTGATCAGAGACCAAAACTCCAAGGTAACGAATAGGCAGTTTTGCAATGATTTATGCGAGCAAGAGTGCTCACTATGTGGGCTTTGCGTACCGCAAGCATGAGCAATGCAAAGAAAGAAGAACAGCCGTTTCAATTCAGTATGAACTCAGAATATGAGCTTGAATTTGATATCTTCTTTGCTGATTTGGTGCCAATAGCAGTGCAAACAATCTTATTAATCGAAAAAGCATCAATTAAAATCCACATATGATTTTTTTTACTGTCGCAAGCAGTCGGAAGAATGCGACTCTCCGTACAGTTCAAAGGTATGCCGGTTGCAAAAGATGCATTACCGAGTTTTGCGGAAAAAAAAACACGGACGAAGTGAGCTTGATACTCAGCAGTTGGCTCTGCATCAAAGTCGAATAATCTGAATACGGAGTACATTCGAATACGAATTCGAATAAACATTCGAATAAAACATTCGAATAAAATCTATTCGAAACCCCGTTTTTTGATTATTCGAGTTTTCGAATAATATTCGGAACCTCGTTTTTGATTATTCGAGTTTTCGAATAATATTCGAAACCTCGTTTTTTGATTATTCGAATTTTCGAATTTTATTCGAAACCCTATTTTTTGATTATTCGAGTTTCGAATTTTATTCGAAACCCCGTTTTCTCAATTATTCGAGTTTCGAATATTATTCGAAAATGGAAGAACTCCGAACATCGAATTTCGAATACGAATATATTCGAACGTTTTATTCGAATGATCGAATTTTTATTCGAATTCGGACCCAAGTATAGTGATCAGTATGCTAAATTTCCCTCACGTGTCAACTCTCAGCCCTGTAGCTCAAATTTTGCAATAAAAATCGATGAAAATGAACGACACTCTTGTAAACTAATAATGTAATCGTAATCAGCATGCTCACTTACCCCATGTACCAACTCACTCAGCCCCGTAGATCAAACTTTACGAAAAATTTATAGAATCGATAGAGGAAATCAATAATCTCATACTAGTATTGTAGTGAACAGCATGCTTACTTTCCGTCTTGTGCCAACTCTCAGCCCCGTAGCTCAAATTTTGCAAAAAAAATCGACGAAATCGATATCAATCAATAACAAAAAGAAGCCTACGACACGTTTGCCTCCCCGAAGTATACGTGTGCAAAGTTGGCCGGAATGCTTTGGATATAAAAATTTCTATACCGCGTATACGTACATACATACAGGAAGACAGACAGACAGACAGTCAGACATATCCAGCTTTTACTTGCGGATCCACATCTGAACGATGTTGACCGGTAAAACTTTCAAGCTTTTATGAGGAACTACTCACTGCTACTAATTGCATTATTTCCCAACCTTTCATCTTTCTAGTCTCCATTCCTCAGATCGGTGAAGTAATGCTTGATGCGGATTGCACACTTGAAACATGGAGGTCGGGAACAGCGAAGTTTTTTTTGCGTTGAGGATGCAGCGCTCTCTACTGCCTAGGGCATTTTTGCCTAATTCAAAAACGTTCGATCAGTCTGAGCCTGACGTGACATGCTTGATATTCGGCGCTATGGGTAAGATTTCCTGTGCAAGACTAAATCCCATTTGATTCTCATTGGATTCTAAACGAATTTGCTCATAGAGAACAGACTCATCACGTCATGCTTTGAGAGCCGTCGCTGTGAACTGCGCAACCACAGGCAAGACAAGACTTTCCTGGCAGGCTCGGAAAAATCTTGCCAGTTTAAGGCTTAAATACTCGGCGATTGAGCACTTTTTTACATTCAGAGATTTCTAAAACTCACTTTTTTATCTCAGCGCCGGTGTACAAGCAACAACGCATCACAAGGAACATCATGTCATCTTGCTTAAATATTGCCTATAGGTTTGTTTGCGATCATGTTGTGCATATAGCTCACTTGGTTGTACATTTCCCAATCGTCCAAAGTCAGGTTATAGTAGTACTGCTCTTTGTAGGTATGCGATCACGTCGCGTTTCAAATGATTTCGGACATGAACAGCAGGTGTTTAGTCAGTCAAAATTTCCTGTTATTAAGATTATTACCGTCGGCTACGAAAAACAATTTAATATGGTCTGTATGACGCCTATGTTCAAAAAACTGTTTCTTTAAAAGCCAATTCGAGGAGCCACATGGAAGGTGAGCGTTTACATTTTCAAAAAAAGTTCCGAGTAGTGTTTCAATTTAGAAAGGAACACCACTCTCAAGATCAGGCTATGCTACTGCTTACCATCGTTAGCGCTTTATATCTGTGCTAGTCGCCCTTTTCAAAGAGAAACGATCAGCTGTTACTTCAGCAAAGTACTTTTATTCCTTGCTTATCACGCAAGCAATATTGGTTGGCATTTACGCAATCCTATAAATTTTTTTTGAGATAGGCTTTTAGAATATTTTGACTTTTATGGACTTATTCTATGTTAACCTGGCCGGAAATATAGGCAGCAGAGGCTGGATAGGATTTTTCTATTTGAGCGTCCCATAGGTGATTACAGCAGTGGTGAGTTTTAGTATTTAGCGATTCAGTGTCATATTTTCGGATTTGATGCCATGCTGTTAAATCAGTAGTGGTAAAACGATCAATACTGGCGACCTCGTCACATATCTCTTTGGTGTCAGGTAAAGATAGGCAAAAGAAAAACAATGACCTTAATTATAGCATACCTTTGGACACTAAAATGACCAAGGTATTAGACATAAGTTTGTTGGACTGTTCCTTTTATAACATTCACCTCTAATCGCTTTTTCTTTTCACAAATGAAGCTTTTTAGCGTTGTAGTTGAGTTGTGGCATTTTTTTCTTGGGAAAATATTGCTTTGATTTAAAATAATTTTCCGTTATGTATCCGTACCGAAAATCTAGTGGTTATCTAAAGAGTCTTGTATTTTTGTACTTTCAGACCCACGGCATTACATTCCACGTGGTATTCATGCAAACATACTTGACTTTCTTCATATCACTTTATAGAATGACACTCATCACACATCCGATGGTGCACGTTAAGGTACTTTTCTTAAATGGCTTTTTATTGGGCAGTGACTTTTATCATCTGAATGAATTTTATTCACAGCTAACTAAAGTTAACAAGTTAGAGGCACCATCTATCTAAATTGAGGGTGGTAGAATTTTGACGCAGTGCGAGACAGGCTCCCCAACACAACAGTTTGAGTCCGACCAAAAAAGGTGCATTCTGAAGCAAGAAAGACGCTTTGGATAAGACTAAAAACGGGGTGAAGCATTACTCCAACCATGCCTCCAATTGGTGGATTCCCGCCCATTCGTGCTCGCCCTTCCAATCACCGTTCTGAGAACTCGTGGGAGAGCCCTCCGAAACGGGGATTGTATGGTTTTTGAAAACGCTCGATTTCATATTCGGAATCAGAGACATGAGAAAGCCCTGGAGCGACAAAACATAGAAGTCGTAATTGGGTGGACTGTGCCCTAACGCATTATAGATACTCTTCATGTCTGAAATTTTGTCTGATGTATAGCGAATTAGAGCCCTTCTCAGGTTTGGGAATACGCTCTACCAGCAAGCATTGCTATAACTTTAATAACCCCTCTATATTCTACCTATAGCCTATTTATCGCAGAATGTTACTTGAAGGAAAACGCTGCTACACAAACACTTTCTCTAATCATCAATGATGTAAGTAAACGATCCAACCAATGGTCCATACATTCGTCTATTCAGAGCGTGATAAAATCTGTCATGAAAGAATTGCTAACCTTCATGTGCTTGTTCACAATGTTATCGCTGATGATTAATTCGCTTCCGTGGTGGTACTTTGCAAACGAGCAAAGAAAACTAGCGAAAGTAAGGCAGAAAAGAATATGCTTGTATTGGCAGTTCTAGACTTTCTCTTGGAGGTGATGATCTTTACTCTCTATGTGAGTATTCGTCAATTATTAAAATCGTCCTTTAGTGAGGCGCAAAAATGTGAATCATTGTCTTTCTACGTCTCGTAGATTGCGGGATCATGATAGCTTTGAAGGTAGTCGTTGATAATTTTATGAACTTTCACGTAATAATGGGTTACGTTACAAAAACCTTATCTAGTTATCACGTTTGCTAACATTTAGTTCGTACCATTTGCCACGTCTCATCTAATCTGCCGAAGGTTTTTATTTTCTTTTTGTCCTGATTTTTGACGCGGTTGAATGTCATTCAGACCGTCATGTTCTACAATCTTGGATCACTTGCTATATTATCCAGAATGATACCACACTCTCTGGATATCCTCATCTTTTCCAATGCGTACTTGCTAATTATTTTGAATAGGCGAATTCGGCGCCGCGTCCTTGATGTGATAAGATGCTCAGGTGTTATATGCCTTCATTTGATCCGACAAAATATATAATTTTTCGGAAAAATGTGGAAGCAACGCTACTCAATCAACCATAACGAACATAACACGGAGTGTTCACATTACCCAATTCTAACTCATTGTTCAGCTCAGCATCTTTTCTTTGTTTCGTGATAGATTAGACAGTCAATCAAATAAATTTGTGATTGTGTGTTTTATCCGCCTCATGTATCATCTTGCGTCTGTACCATTCGATGACTGTTACTAATAGGGTACATTTTCAATTCAAAAATGTGAAATGAGACCAAAGTGTGCTTGTTGTCTTCTTGCACTGAGAGAAGAAAATTTTACGGCAACGTGCATGTAGTAACAGAGACTATGGTAACAAACTAACCTATTTATTAAATGCTCCAGAAATTCATAGGGCATTTTATTGAAGTTTAGACCCGCGAACTGTTATGTTATGTCCGACATGCAATTCGAAGGTCATGGTAAATCAATTCAGGGCTTACCTCAAGCAGCAGAGTGGCTGGTAGATCTTGGAGAGAGATGGTGGTAGACCGAACTAACAATTGCAAAAGAGGGAAATATGGTAGGAAGAGAAAGCCGCAGTTTCTAAACTTTTTAGGACCAGCAGAATATTTTGCTTCATCATGACATCAAGCCTTCAATATTCGGTAAAGCAATTTATGACACATTTTTAGACTTGCATGAGCTAATTTTATATCAGGTGCGAAATCAATACATGTTCACTGAATGTTTATGAGTTGTATCAAAATTTGTTTAGCACACTGGGAATGTCTTGTGTTGTCTCATTAATCATGCCTTTCTTAGCGGGCCATACTATTCTGTTTACTCGTATTGCAGATGCTCCAGATGTAGGGAAAAACTGAGTGTTCTAAACTCCTACTCTAAATTACAAAATACTTTGCAAAGTTTGATGTGGAAGAGTACTAAGTCAACAAGCTGCAATAAAAAACTACACAGATGGCCAAATATTTTATTTGCAGCAGTTTGCAGTAGTGTGGGCACATGAATCAAATTGTCCACTTTTTTTAGCGCTCTTAAGGATTAATCATCAGGGCCCGGCACCGATGGTTTAGGGTCAAACTGGACTTCGTTTTTGGAGTTAGAAGCAACGGGGACATCGTTTTTATGAGGTCCTGGAGGAAGCGCCAAAAAAAAACACGACGAACATGTCAGGTTTCACGAGTTGAACGTGTTCTTTCGCAAGCGCGCGAATTTCAAATACAAGACTCAAACAAACAAATGGCTTGTTTACAGCGCACAAACAATCAAATGGCTCCGAATTTGGGCTATGAGTATACAATATTACTCCAAACTATGTTATGTAAAAAGTTCCCAAAACTTATGTGTCCTAATATCCGTTCTCGAATTTGTTGGTTTCTAGACCAACTACCAAACCAACTGGGTTGGTTCGGAGCATAAATATCGGAGAGTTCACATAAGTTTTGGACCTTTTTGATTTGGACGATTAGAACGGTCAAAAATCTATCATATAGTGAAAAGAGCGGATCAAACCGTTGCCCCTCCCCTTTTTTGAGTCAAAAGTAGTGTAATTCTACGCGTTGATAGATATCGCGCTCCAATCACTTGCGGTGTCCTTTGAAATATGTGGCGAAAAATGCATCGCAGGATTGTTGAGGCTACAGATTTGGTTGACCTAGAAGATCCTCGACATTCCCAGCATCAAAATGGTACTATACCCAATGGCAGAGTCTTTAATCGACTCGAAATATTTTCTTTTTGCTTTTTTGGCTTTTTTGTTGCTATTTTGGTTGAATAAGGGTTTTTCTACTGATTTTCACGTCGAGAGGGACTTCGTAAATTTTCGCGAAGTCATGGGGGACTTCCTTTCCTAAAAACCTCCAAACCAACGCGTTCCGGTCCCTGTTAATCATTCCTTTCTGTGGTTTGTGAACTTCTTTACCTACTCGATGCAGCGGTAAATTTTGCAAAACTAGCGTGAAGTGCTTTAGTTTTATTACAATTTCGGAACAACTTCGGCGCGTTTGCTACTGAAAAAAGGGTATAAAGTGTGCGGCGGACACCTGAGTACAGACTCACCATCCTCAGTTCCAGCGTGTGTTATGCGAATGATTGATCCTTGATCGCTGACTATTTTTTGAGATTTTTGAAAAGTTTTGATTTTTCTAAAAAGTGGAGGATCGGAGAGTTTTATTCAGATGGTTTTTTTCCAAAGATTCAAAATTTCAAAATAGACAGTGCTACGGGCTAAAGCAAACTTTGCACTTCGAACTCAAAATCTAAAGATTTCCAAATGTTCGAAAAGTCGAAAAAAATCGGATCTCCGTCCAGACAATTTCTACGGACCTCCCACTTACATACGTCAATGCCTTCGATATCAGACACCCATATGTGCAGTTGCTGTGTTTTTTTTCTTGACTAGAAACTGAAAAAACGAAAATTTCCCTGATTTTCTCAAAGCAATGCTGAGCCGTTTTTGCATATGTAGTTCTATACTACAGGCCCATATAAGTATAAGTGTAGATTTTCAGCCCATTCCAAGCGGTAGTTTTCGAATAATAACGAATTCGGATTTTTTCGTTTCAGTTTCAGTGCTAAAATCGACATTTCTCGAAAAGTACCGCTCGAAATAGGCTGAAAACCTACAGTTATGCTTACCTAAACTTGTAGTATAGAACTACATATGCAAAAACGGCTCAGCATTGCTTTGAGAAAATCAGGGAAATTTTCGTTTTCTCAGTTTCTAGTCAAGGAAAAAATACGGCAATCGCACATATGGATATCAGACATCGATAGTATTGATGTGAGCGAGTGGGAGGTCCGTAGAAATTATTTGGACGAAGATCTGATTTTTTCGATTTTTGGGCATTTGGAAATCTTTAGATTTTGAGTTGGAACTCTCCGTGGATCGAGCATGGCGCAAAGACATGAGAGCCATCTTGTAGAGCTTGCTTTGCTCTATCGAACAGTTCCCCCTTACCCTTTGTTGGGTTGAGTCTGGTTGCTTTGTCAAAGCAAGCAAATAAAACGGACATTATTTTGTTGACAAGCTAATAGTAAACCAGAACTTTTCGGCGTCAAAAATCTTGAACAGCTCTCAACTTTTTCCTAGAACCTGCGCAAGAAGTAGAATTGACTTGAGGTTGATTGCGAAATTCACATTTTTTATTCGTCGTCCTAAGATCAGTTAGGTGATGAGCTATAGGTTTCAGCGCAATTACTAATGATGAGTCGAGTTTTGGGAAAAAAGTAGATGTTCACAATTTATCTTGTTTCCAGCAGGCTTGATCTTTGCTCCTTTTATATAAGGTACGATAAAGGTCCATTGACGAGAAATATCACCTTTATAGCCTAATTACCACATACGAAGTGTAATTGCGTGTTAGGTTGTAACAAAGTTGCCGATATTCTTCAAGCCTGCGGCAATCGTAAAGGTCTTTTAGTTCTTACATTTGAGTGTGGGAAGTACAAACGCATGGCTTACCATAAAAAGTGCAGAATAATAGAATTGTAAGAGCAACTTAATTAACCAGCACTTCTGTCTTGCAATCATGGAAAATACCACATATTACCAATACGTAATATCAAATATCTCATTAGGTATTCACCAGAGAAAATTCACGTTTTAATTATGTAATGGGATTTTCCACTCCGTATTTTCATTGAAAATGCATAAAACTCTCTTGCATGTCTGATTTCTCAGTAACTGAAACTACACCTGCTCTAGAAAGTTTCAACCAATTTTGCAGAAGCTGGGAAATTCATGTTGCTCATCATCTCCTTCCCAAAGTTCTTCATCTTTTTCTCAGAAATGATTTGGCAGTTTTGAAGTTTTGTTTCAGTGATGGATGACACACACAAATGCATGCAAGCACTACGTCCTCAAGAGATTCCCACATGGGAACGAATACTCTTTGGTTGCATTATACTGATTATAGCTTCTATCTCATTGGTTCTAAATATTCTATTAGCTATTATTGCCTCTACTAACCCCATTTTTGACAAATCGGTCTATCCACACATGGCAAGCCTTATTTTGGCCAGCTTTGTCTTTCTCTCTGCTGATTGTTGGATTTTGTTGCCAACTATATTTGGAAGATTAAACTTGATTGATCCATACAATGTGATCCTTTCAATCCCAAACAGTGTCGGCTATTTTATGATAATGTTGACTATAGCATCCATGGCTATTGATCGTTTTCTGACATTTTTCTTTCCAGCGGTGGGTTTATAACGCGAGTATTTTTTTTTTCGAGTACTCAATATTTAATCTTGAAAAAGAGAGAATTTGCACGGTAGTCTTGCTAGGAAATGCTCTGATTTGCAATGGGCTGAAGTTTAAGCATGTTATGAAAGTAGTAGACTTCTAAGAGACTAACGCAATGATTGCCTCAATTTGGAATGCAAATAATCTCCAAGGAGTGTCATTTTTTCCATTATATTTTTCCATTCTCGTTAATAATCAAAGAAATTTCAATTGGACAATGGGGTGGGGATCGAATCGATGAGAAAATGCGAATGCCCTTCTTTCCATGTGCGTTATCAAAGAGTCTCAATCTCTCGGATTAATGGCAATTTGCTATAAGTGGTTGACTTTGATTTTACGAATTTTATAATTATCAGCAACAGTGGGAATCAAATGGAATTTGTTGGCAGTAACATAGTTAAACTTATATGCTAAAGTTGAGATAGTATTAGGTTGTCCCATAAGTCTTTTCATTTTTGAATTATCGCTATGATAAGTCACACACTTCTTACTCTAAATTGACTTCAGGATACCATTCGATAGAGCAAAGCAAGCTCTATAAGATGGCGTTTACAATTTCGCACAAGCTTTGGTCTATCTCGAGTTATAAACCAAAATCTAAAAAGTTTCGGATGGCCAGAAAACCGAAAAAAATTTTATCTTCATTCAAAAAAATCCTACAAACCTCAAACTCGCTCACGTGTATACATTCCACATAAGACATTCATATGTGCTGTTGCTGCATTTTTTTATCACCTAGAAATCAAGAAACCGAAAATTTTCCTGTTTTTACCAAAGTGATGCTGTGCTGTTCTTACACTGACAGTTGCATACTACAAGCCCTTAGAAGTACAACTATAATTTTTTAGCTCTATATAAGCTCTGGTTTCCGAGAAATGTTGATTTAAGCGTGAAAAACCCAAGTGAAGAAAGCTAAATTTGATATTTCTGGTGAACTAGAGCATATAGAGAGTCAAAAATCTACTGCAGTACTTCTGAGGGCTTCTACTATACAGCTGCTTGTGTAAGAACAGCACAGCATCACTTTGGTAAAAACAGGAAAATTTTCGGTTTCTTGATTTCTAGCTGATAAAAAAATGCAGCAACAGCACATATGAATGTCTTATGTGAAATATTTATACGTGAGAAGTTTGAGGTTTGTAGGATTTTTTTGAAGGAAGATATAAAAATTTTTCGGTTTTTTGGCCATCCGAAACTTTCTAGATTTTGATTTAAAACTCGAGATAGACTAAAGCTTCTGCGAAAGAGTAAAGGCCATCTTATAGAGCTTGCTTTGCTCTATCGAATGGTTTCCTGATGTCTATTCAGAGTAAGAAGTGTGTGACTTATTGTAGCGAAAATTCAAAAATGAAAAGACTTGTGGGACAACCTAATATTTCAAGCTATGATTGTGAGAAATATTTCAGCTGCACAAAAAGATACAACAGCATGATGAACTTCGGTTTACAAGCGCTAGTATTCCTTGCATATTATCGCTGTTGGTCACTATTCATATGAACATTATTGGTTGTTATAAGCGTGTCAACCAGTATACGTTTAGCTACACCTACGCTTGCAGGTGAGGCTTATTATGTATGAATTACAGGGAGTAGATAGGCAGCGTTTTGATCAATTTTACGGCTGTAGCACTTGTGCTATCAAACTCTTCATGTTCAGACTTTCAAATGAACGTTGAAAGTGTACACGCTCATGTGTTACCAGACAGCTTTTATCAGCTTTCACTACGCCAACGTTTTGCTGTAAAACTGTTAACACTGAAGATGCTCAAAGCCCATAGGGTAGAAGTCTCGCACAAAATTGTGCAAACATTTGATAGCTCCAATGTTTAGGCAAACTTCATTGTGTTTTCTTTGAGAAAACCACACTTTAAATTGAGAGTGGGCTATAAACGTGTGTTTTTTGTTCTATGTGTGCGATTATTCTGTTCTAACACAATGTTGAAAAAGTTTTAGGTTGTAAAGAAAGTTCCTGGGTACTTGCGAAAATTTTTTCAAATCGCTATAACTTTAAGTAGATTGAATCTTTTTGAAGCTACAAACTTCACTACAAAGACAATTTTGTCCACAACATATACTTGTCTTGCTTTCTTCTCAGCACCTCACTGTGGTCCACCAGCATGCACAGAAGGGAAAAAGGTCGTTGCGAAAAGTGGCCTATTTGTGCAGGCAGGGCCCGGCACCGATGGTTTGGGGTCAAACTGGACTTCGTCTTTGGAGTGAGAAGCAACGGGGACATCGTTTTTATGAGGTCCTGGAGGAAGCGCCAAAAAAACACGACGAACATGTCAGGTTTCACGAGTTGAACGTGTTCTTTCGCAAGCGCGCGAATTTCAAATACAAGACTCAAACAAACAAATGGCTTGTTTACAGCGCACAAACAATCAAATGGCTCCGAATTTGGGCTATGAGTACACAATATTACTCCAAACTATGTTATGTAAAAAGTTCCCAAAACTTATGTGTCCTAATATCCGTTCTTGGATTTGTTGGTTTCGAGACCAACTACCAAACGAGACCAACTGGGTTAGTTCGGAGCATAAATATCGGAGACTTCACATAAGTTTTGGACCTTTTTGATTTGGACGATTAGAACGGTCAAAATCTATCATATAGTGAAAAGAGCGGATCAAACCGTTGTCTCTCCCCTTTTTTGAGTCAAAAGTAGTATAATCTACGCGTTACTAGATATCGCGCTCCAATCACTTGCGGTGTCCTTTGAAATATGTGGCGAAAAATGCATCGCAGGATTGTTGAGGCTACAGATTTGGTTGGCCTAAGAGATTTTCGACATTCCCAGCATCAAAATGGTGCTATACCCAATGGCAGAGCCTTTAATCGACTCGAAATGTTTTCTTTTTGCTTTTTTGTTATATTACATACCTCAAAATGCGCTTTTTTCGCTTTTTTGTTGCTATTTTGGTTGAATGAGGGTTTCCCTACTGATTTTCACATCGAGAGGGACTTCGTAAATTTTCGCGAAGTCATGGGGGACTTTCGTTTCCCAAAAACCTCCAAACCAACGCGTGCCGAGCCCTGTGTGCAGGATTATCTCAAACATGATTGAGAGCTGGAGAGCCCAGATGCTGTAGTTACAAAGGTCAGAGGTCTGCTGGGACTGTTATGGGGACCATTCATGTTTTTGAAGGACCACCTGCAAAAATTTGAAAAATTGACCATTTTTTGCCCCTAAAAATGCACCATTTTTCGAGTAAGTGAATTTGAAGTCTTCTACTTCTGTACGGAAAGAACCAAATCTTTGATTACTGGAAACATTTTCGGGGTAATGCTTTGCACAACTTTCGGACCCATCATCCAGGCGTGGCTATCTCCACAGAAGCGACGCCAGCTGCGAAAAGAGTTGCAGTCAGAGGCAGGTTGGACAGCTTGTAATTTCTGAGCGCAAATCGCAAAACTCAAGTGCAGCTGCCGGTCAGTTAACAGGCTTCTCAATCAGACCACCCATGATTAGGACGAAATTCTTCGATCTGCACAAAGAATGGCCGTGGGAAGAAAAGTTGTGAATTTATTGTGGTTGGAAAGAATTCTCTTCTTAACGTGCAGATCAAACACGTCTTGGCATCGATAAAAGTCAGAAGGCCTGTTGAAAACTTTAGGCTTCCCTCTACTGAACAGTATAAAAAAACTTGGTGTCAAAGTCCGACCGAGCGCCGAAAAAATGCGTTTGAAAATGAAGTTTCCAAAAGTGCCCGGAAACTTTCTTTACAACCTAATAGATTAAAATGCACTATTCCAATTCTGCTACAAACTGCAGGGAATCTCACACAAATGCAAAGTATTGAAGAGCAGTGATTTTAGCAATTTGTGCTCATTTTATGCTTATGACCATCATCATATATCATTTTATGCGTACTACCATTATCATTTATCATTTTATGCTTATTACCTATTAACGTGTAAGTTCTAATGTGTGCATAAAATTAAGTCCTTTGGGAGAATCGAATTTTCTGTAGGTTTTGTTCAAACTCAATCGGTTATCCTAATTTCACGCATATGAGGCGCACCTTTTCGAATTTTCAAGCGCCGCTCAGCCGCCTCACTGTATTCCGAAAAGAAATCCTTACATCGCACGATTCTCCCAGGCAATATACAGCACGTTATAGGATCCTTTGGTTGTAAAGTCCTTTGGCTTGTCTGGGCTGGTCGATTTTCGAAGAAAATCCCTCGCGCCTTAGACGCATAAAATTAGGGTAATTAATTTCATTATACAGCACTGTTTTCGGCTGAACCTAGATGATATAGCGCTTGTTTTTGGGTCTTACTATTCCGACACCGAGATTTGAAAAAATTTTGAAGCACGAAGGTTTTAAGCACTTGAGTAAAAAGAGCATATCTAATTCAAAACACCATGAACTCAACTCAAATCTTTGAAATATGGAACTACCTCATTGCTCTCTGCGAATTTTTTCGTCCAATATGTCATCGTGAACAGATCTGAGCGCTTTTAATGCACGTTAATTTATTCCTTCTATTTGTTAAAATTCGAGAGAAACCATTCATCTTACAGGTATCCAATTTCAGCAACTGCAAAGTGTACCTCTCGTGCTTGCCGATAGTAGCATTTACTTTTTCCGGGCTAAATTTCGTTATATATTTTGCAATATTTATGAAAATTATGCAGTTGACGACGAAGACATCGACGCTTACATCCTCACAAATAAAGCGGAGAGAAGTAAAATTGGTAAGCGAAGCAAATGTAGCCAGCAGTCTTGCAATATTACCTACAATTATGTCGAAAGCAAGAGTGTAAACAAGCCATGTACGTGTATGTATTGGCTACGCACATCCACCGATTATTACGTGATTGGTTTATTATTGCAGGTTATTCATTTCCTACTGATTTGTGTGGCACAATTCATCGGAAGCACATGTTTTTATTCCTTGCCAAATTTGATGCACGGACATAACATTGCCTATCATCTAACGGCAATCCTGTCAACATTGAACACGATGACCAATCCTTGCTTGATGTTCTTAATGAATGCGAAGGTTCGACAATATGTGAAAGCAATTTTCATCAGGAGGTAGAACATACAGACATAAAACTATATTATCTTCATGTAACCCATATATAGGAGAAGATCAGCAGGACGACTCAACAATCGGAGCTTTCTCTATTCGTAGATTTTTTTGCACATGTTTGTTATTTTTTGCCATTATAAAAGTGGGTATCTAGAAGACTTTATGAAACACATGGGAATAAACGCTTTTATTATTGTACTTTCCACACATTCGAAACACATACACTACGCAAATCTGCTAACCGATTTCTGAATCCCAGTCCAATGGCTGAGACGTATTCGAAATGCACAGCTATTTACTTTGGCTCACGTCGCCCTCAACCATGCTTATGTCCGCGGAGCGAGGCAAGCTCTTCGGACTCATACTTTTTGCATCTCAACTCTAGTTTATCTTCTTCTTTTTCTCACTGTCATAAAAGATCATCCTTCGTAGCATTTCTTGACTTTTGTACTAATTGCACTCAGGACTGTCAAAATGGTCAGTTTAATGTTCTCAATCAAACTACGAACGAAATAGTTGTAAATAGTCATTTTTGCATAAATTGCGCTGCACAACTGCTTTTTGTAAGTTTGTATCTTTGAAACTGTCATGTTTTCGTGGGCGACGCTTTCTTGCCGCTGCATTTGTTTCACTGATGGCTTGCTACCCTCAGACTTGAAAGCGGTCTGAGAATGGTGCATAAGGATAGTCGTTTTGGCTAGAATATTGTGTATACTCCTTCTGCAGGGCGTGTGGCGGTTACGCTGCGCACTGCTCTTGCACTTCCAGTTTTTTTTCAGTGCTTAGCAAATCAGACTCCACGCATTGTGCATACTATCGCATACTACCTGCAATGATGGCCGCGAGTCACGGCATCCAGCAGCACATCAACTATTAGTCAGACAAACGAGGGATTTTATTCAGGCTATTGAGGCTGCTGTTAAGCTGGATTGATAGATTCTGATCTCCGGCTACGTTTTTGTACTGAGTTCAGATGATGCCTCTAGCGAATTTAGCTTGAACACTAGTCTTCAAAAGTGTTGTAGCTAGTTAGTAAAATTCAATATATAATAGTTTCAAATTAGAGAAGAACATGTGAGTGAGTTTAAGAGTGAACTCTTTAAAATATCATTATCACCTCATGTTACATTCAAAACTTGCTCACAACCTTTCTTCTTGTTACTTCATTAATGTAGCTAATACAGTAGCTAGCTATACTGTAGCTAATGCGTAGTTCACTCTTCGAGCCACCTACCCTTTGATACAGCGGGACGGCTGAAAAGCGACAGCTTGCGCCTGTAACGCAGCCTACATCTATCTCGCGAACGTACTCTCTTATCATTTTCTAGCTTTGATCAGGCTTCAAATTCCCGCCTTCCAGCCGCCAATCCTGTTTAATCAAAGGGTATATTGTGATTTGTATGCTTTTTTCATCTACATTTGAGATGACTTTGCAGCGATGAACTCCTTCACAGCATCCACGATGCAGATATCAGTGTCCATATCAAGGTTAGCTAGATTTTGTTTGAAGAAAACGAGATGACTTTGAAAATAAACAATAAACAGCTCATCACTAGAAAAAAGGAGAAGATGTACTATAGTTGAGATGCGAGAAAGAATACTTAAACTAGGGTTGAGATGCAAAAAGAATCCAAGTCCGAGGAGCTTGCCGCACTCCGCGGAAATAAGCGTGACCTTGGGAGATGAACCAAGTACAATACCGCTCACAGAATGTGCAAATTTCCGTGAATGTCGCAGAATTCCAGGAATTCCGCGAAGGTTCGCGAAATTCCGGAAATTTCGCGAAATTCATGTGCATCACGCAAATTACGCAGGGCCATAACTTCTTTCCGAATCAGTATATTCGAAATTCGAAAACAGCATTGTATTCAGCTCGTCAAGGCGAATCTTTTGGTGTACAGGTTGTGTCCAATTCTAGACCTTGTTTTTAATAATCTTAAATTTGCACGCGGACGCCTCTTCGCATGGTGGTAACGCAACGAACATCACACATAGGAGAATGCCGTGGGCGCCGAGTGATAGTACTCTTTCACTAGATTATTGTGCGCTAAACAACAACAGATTCCCTTTCAAAAGAGATAGTAGAGCTGATAAACTCTGGAAAAATCAAGCTATTCCAAGTTCTACTAGCCGTAACTTCCTTCAGAATGAAAATTTTCGAAATGTGAAAGCAGCATTGTGTTCATCTCGTCCAGTCGAATCTTACTGTGTACAGCATGCCCTTGAAATTCCGTTTCCAATTTTTTCAAAAATTTCTGCGCGCGTATATTCACAAGGTCGCAACGCAGCGCACATCAGACATAAAAGACTCCAATAAGCACTGTTGGATTATGCTGCTTTCCCAGATTATCGAGCGCTAAGAAGCAACCGGAGAATCTTTTTGGAAATAGATGGAAGAGCTGGTGAATTCTGGGAAAGTCGCGTTGTCTCAAATTTTGCTTACCGTGACCCTAAAATGAGAAGCTCTACTGCTAAGCAGATGTGATTTTCGTAATCAGCAGGTCAGATAACCTCTATGAGCAAGTTTTCAAAGAAATTCGGGTGATTTAATTTTTTCTCGTTCTACGCCCGCCGATGGGTTTTGGTCAAAAGTCGATGATCTCGGATTGTAAGGAAACTTCGCTCAAAGAGGTTTTCGAACACGCTGTTTACGATAATCGTCTTTTGCGCGGAGTACAGAGTTTTCTAGCAGAGATATGGTGAGGGAACTTTAGCTAAGCCACGAAAGTTCGTAAATTCGCCTGCATTTTTCGAGCACCTCTTAAAAAATCTGCTTGCTTGCCTTTGCAGGTTAAGTTCACTAAAAAGCGTGCTATTTAACGATGCATGCATCCGGCTTCAATCTGTAGCAATCGCCGAGTTAGGGGCCTACGAAATCACGTCCTCATGAGTTTTGCTCAAAATGTAAAGATCGCCTGCCGCGTAGAAATTCCACCTAAGTGACTGTAAGACACTGTACTCGCGAATTTTGTGTTCACTTCGCTTTAATTTATCCTGCTGTACTGGAAGTAATTAAATAGATCTGCTAGCCACGAATCTGCTTTGATATTCACTTAAGGGCTCAGGCACACACAATCACCAGATCCAATGTAATAAGATCTCAAGGATCTTTTGAGTTGAACATAAAATTTGCGACCACATTGTCTTACAGTCACTTAGGTGGAATTTCTACGAGGCAGGCGATCTACATTTTGGGCAAAACTCATGAGGACCTGATTTCGTAGGCCCGTAACTCGGCAATTGCTCAGATTGAAGCCAGATGCATGCACCCTTGAATAGCACGCTTTCCAGTGAATTTAGCTTGTAGAGGCAAGCAAGCAGATTTTCTAAGAGGTGCTCGAAAAATGCAGGCGAATTTACGAACCTTCGTGGCTTAGCTAAAGTTCCCTCACCATATCTCTGCTAGAAAACTCTGTACTCCGCGCAAAAGACGATTATCGTAAACAGCGTGTTCGAAAACCTCTTTGAGCGAAGTTTCCTTACAATCCGAGATCATCGACATTTTGACCAAAACCCATCGGCGGGCGTAGAACGAGAAAAAATTAAATCACCCGAATTTCTTTGAAAACTTGCTCATAGAGGTTATCTGACCTGCTGATTACGAAAATCACATCTGCTTAGCAGTAGAGCTTCTCATTTTAGGGTCACGGTAGGCAAAATTTGAGACAACGCGACTTTCCCAGAATTCACCAGCTCTTCCATCTATTTCCAAAAAGATTCTCCGGTTGCTTCTTAGCGCTCGATAATCTGGGAAAGCAGCATAATCCAACAGTGCTTATTGGAGTCTTTTATGTCTGATGTGCGCTGCGTTGCGACCTTGTGAATATACGCGCGCAGAAATTTTTGAAAAAATTGGAAACGGAATTTCAAGGGCATGCTGTACACAGTAAGATTCGACTGGACGAGATGAACACAATGCTGCTTTCAGATTTCGAAAATTTTTATTCTGAAGGAAGTTACGGCTAGTAGAACTTGGAATAGCTTGATTTTTCCAGAGTTTATCAGCTCTACTATCTCTTTTGAAAGGGAATCTGTTGTTGTTTAGCGCACAATAATCTAGTGAAAGAGTACTATCACTCGGCGCCCACGGCATTTTCCTATGTGTGATGTTCGTTGCGTTACCACCATGCGAAGAGGCGTCCGCGTGCAAATTTAAGATTATTAAAAACAAGGTCTAGAATTGGACACATCCTGTACACCAAAAGATTCGCCTTGACGAGCTGAATACAATGCTGTTTTCGGATTTCGAATATACTGATTCGGAAAGAAGTTATGGCCCTGCGTAATTTGCGCGATTCACATGAATTTCGCGAAATTTCCGGAATTTCGCGAACCTTCGCGGAATTCCTGGAATTCTGCGACATTCACGGAAATTTTGCATATTCTGTAAGCGGTATTGTAAATAGTTGTGTGCCTCGAAACGTCAATGGCTGAAAAGAAATGGATCCACTTTCGTACAAAAAATCTTTCGGCCTTGGTCAGTAAGTCCATTGGACACAAAAAAACGGAGTTCACCCAATCGTAGTTTCGAATTATGACACTTAGTATGTTATAGTGGCTTTACTTTCAATGATTCTTGCTATCCAAGTGCGCTTCGAAAAGTATGTCAAACGTGTCAGTCCATTGATGTTTAGCTTCGCCTAGGTGATGTGAACTTGGGTTATCATGCGGATCATAACTGTCCCGTGCAATTACGGCACCTCAAACCAGGGCTCGGCCGGTGGATGAGAAATATCAAGCTGAATTTCGTGTTAAAGATCCACCCATATTTTCCTTCATGTATTTCTCATTTTGGAGCTTTTCCATGGCACATTACGTGGAAACTTGAAATGAACCCCTTTTTTTAAAATCTATATTGACAAGGGTGGACGAGTGTCCCATCGTT